GTTTGTATCCACATTTTGAAGCGTGCCTATCATAACACAAATTAAATGAACAACAAAAAAATTGAAGACATATGCAATCATAAATAAGATGGGACCGAATATCATCAGTGACACAAAGAGCACACCCCAGTGGGTATTATAACAGAGTCCATCCTCACCCCACCCATCCTTTCAGGAAAAGCCTGGGTAAATAGAAAAGCTTTATAAGAGTGCAGAAGGCCAACAAATGCAGCTTCTATAGACTGAGTCTGGCAATGAAATTTGTCATCAAGGACGTTTTACTGACGTCCTCCGTCTGCCATCAATTTGGAGATATACAAGTCAACAGATGTCACTTCAGCTGCTGTGGTGTTAGGTAATGAAGGGTGAAGGTCTTGGAAATAGGTTAGGTTGCAAATGGAGGTGCAGCAGTTTGGTACAGGATGAATGATCTCATTTCTTGGGGTGGACCACAGAAAAAAAAAAAAAAATCTGTAATAGACTTAAAGGCTTCTAGATAAAAAAGTTTTGTGGAAAAGAGCTTGCTGAATAGGTACAGTTACATCTAACTGAGGTATGCATTGGGAGGGTAGAGCTATGAATGCAAGATGTTTTTGCAGGCAGCAGAAAAGGAAGACAAACTGGCCTTTAAGTGAATTTTGGGGGAAAGAAGAGGCACATTTGGGCTGCCTGTTACATCAAAAATCTAGCCTTAAAGGCTTTTGATATGTTTGGAAATATTTCATTTATTTCTGACACCTTTGAGGTGGAATCAAAGCTCTTATCCACAGCTCTTCTTTCTCCATGCCTTCCTTTAGAATGGAGTAGTGTGATCCAGCTTAAATTAGGCATTATTTTTCTACCCTTGTGAAAAATGGAAAAGAATTTAGATTCATCAAGTTTAGCTTTCAACTCACTGAGGGTAGGTAGTGCTACAAATTATTAAGTTTCTCTTTAATCAGAATACACGCCATTTAGAACAGAGACCAGATCTTCCCCTATCTTTATAAAATGCCTTCTATAGCAAGCCCCTGAGCTTGATCAGGACATTTCAGTGCTGTCGCAATTCAGATAATAATAATAATGTTGTAGTACTGGGCAAGAAACTCAAAAACCAAAGTGCCTTGAATAATGTTTGGACTGATTTGTGGTTTCAAGTGCAAACCAGTTGAAGCTGGATTGCATGAAATGGTTTCAGCCCCATAATCGTGCTAGCTATTAGTAAGTTTCTTACTGCGTTATAACTTTATCTAAATTCAATGGCTGACTTAAAATTCAGACGCTGCTGAATCTCTCTGAAGAAGTTCTGAGGCAGATGGCCTCATTGCCTATATTCCCAGTTCAGCAGAGTCATTTTCTGCTCTATGATCTCCATGTTCAGTTTGAGAGTAATGCTTTAGACTTACAGAAATAATCATGAGATTTATTGTTGACTTGGTGTGAGTCTCAAACAGGTTTGAGATTTCAGTCTTGGAGATATAAAATTGTCCTGCCCGCCCAACAAGCCAGAATGTCTGTTGTTCCTTGTTATTCCTTCATAGCAGAGTAGGAAATGTCCTCTCATGTAGATGTGATGCTGAGCCTCCTGTACTTGTGTTGTGCTGCGTAGGAAGTATGAGAGACTGGGCACTGATTCTTTGCCAGAACAAGTTCTCAATAACGCCCAGAGCTTACACTGCTTTTTCTCATGTCAGAAACATAGAGAAGGTAACAGGAGAAGCAGCCAGCACTCTTGCCATTCCCCCTCCCCCTCCCCCTCCCCCTTTCTAATTATCATTTAGATCAAGAGTGTATTATCTTTGGTAACAAGGTGTAGGATGATTTCCAAGTGATCTTCTTCTAATATGAATTTTTAATAAGAGGTTTCAGGTGTCAGAAGGCTTGGCATAACCTCTTTGAGAGCACGCTGTGCCATGCTGTTATTGCCTGAGATAGCTGGGACAGCTGTCTGTAGAGGGAGACTCCAAAGACTTTGAACAGTTAAGTGGAAGGTGAAAAATGGATATAAGGTTAGTTTAATTTAGTTCTGGGGTGTTTATGCATGCTGGGCAGCAAAGTTGTTCTCCAGAGGCAGAGAAACAATGCAGACCAGATCATCAGATTTCCATTTGTCTGATATACGGAGCTGAAGTCTCAGACTCGTACTTCATTATTTACTCTTGGTCTAAAGAATGTCAAAAGATGTAAGGAAGCAGAAGACAAGCTCTGAAAAACTCCCAGCTTGATTTTGCTTGTTGCAGGTAGCAAGGCAGACCTGTAACAGTGGGAGAAGCGAGGGTCAGTGTTCTTGTGATCTAAAATTAATTGGTGTACAGTAGAGGGTGCAAGAATTCCTGTGGTTTACTTTCTGCGTGAAATTAGCTTGACAGCCTAGGCAGCAGAGGAGGAGGAGGCTGCTTAGATAACTGAGGAGAAGAGAGTGATGTGCCAGCTGAGTTAGGGTGAATGAACTCGGTGCATGAGGATCGAGAGGAACACCGTAGCCAGAAGAGCTTATTTTTCATGGGCACACCATCTTTCCTATGACTGAGTTTCTCATGGAAAGTCAACAACAGTTAGGGTGATTATGTTGAATTGTTTCATAAATGATCCTACTAACAGTTTGTGCACAGCATGCTCATTAGCCAGGTAATTAACATAGCTAACCTGAACTTTTCAGCCTATTCTAGTGTCAGTCTGTGGTGGCTACTGAGGTCCACTCCAGCAAAGCTTCTATTTCCAAGGCAAGAAAAACAGCCTGTAAAAGTAGAAGCTGGGAAGTAGTGTTAACATAATTGTAAAGAAAATGCAATATAGATCTATAAAATACTATTAGATGTTGATGTGATGATTTCCAGATTGCTGGGGATGTTTCATGGATCTGTGTTGGTGAACAGAATTGAATACTTAAGGTGATCCTCATGGGTGGAGCCCATATCTGGTGTACTTGCTCACTGTAGGAATCTCCTACGATATGCAGTAAGGCAGTGGATTTACTTAAGAGAGAGATTTTCAGCTTTCTTAACAGATGATCTGTGTGATAAGTGTCCAAGGACAGGAAGTGCATATCTGTTTTCATTTGACTAATTTAATGGGTACCATTTGGTGGGAGTTTTTTTGCTTACATTATTTTTTTTTTCTTTCCTTTTTTAGTTTTCTGAACAACCGGTGGTTTAAAAAAGGCATTTTAAAGAGGTTTTTAAAAGTGGCTGTTCTCCTTGCTGTGTAGGAGTGTTTTGTGTGGGTACAGAGAGCAGGATAAACTACTTCAGCCTCCTGTGGTCTCACTGCAAAGACAAATCCTGAGCTGGGAATCGACTCAGTCATGGCCATCGTCCAGCTGCCACATGCTAAGAGCAGTGTGCCCTCTCCTGAGCCCTTATATTTGGAGTTCAGGGCTGAAAAGATCATAGGCTTCTTGCAGCCAGAACATCTTACTAACGAGTGGGCTTTCTGTGGTCAGTTTGCTAATGCAGTTTTATTCTCTTCTGCAAATTAAAGACCCCGTTGGTTTATTATTGTGTTCATATGCTTTCGGTTCTAGACCTAAATGAAATGCTGATCCCCCTTTAAATTGCTTACAAATGACAGGAAGTGTTTTTCCTTGCCTTCCCTGCGTCACCTCTAGTGATTTTAATTCCTCTCCTTCCTTTCTCTCTCTTTTCCCTACTGTGATCCTTCATGGCCGTGCTGCTCGTGATTTTCACCCTCTTTGAGGGAAGCTGTTTCTACAAAGAAAAGGTTATAAGCTCTTGAAGTGGAGCATGAAAGCAGCAAATAAAATCCTTCACGCACTGAGGCTAAGAAAAGTTGCATGGGATGATAATGCTGTTCCAAGTCTGGAAAATGTTAGGTTTTTAACTTCCTTTTTTAATTTTTAAAGGAAAATTGGGATAATTGAATCTCTGCTGAACCCATACTTCCACCCTTCTTTTAGTAAATGAGGAAGGCAATACCAGAATAAGGAAATGGGAGAGGCTGGGACCCAAAGAGTCCAATTCATAACTAAATAAAAACGGTTTAGTTGCTTTTAATGTTAAAATATTCCTTGAAACACCAGCTTAACTGTGCTTGTTTTTTTACTTAGTTCAGAGTTATTTTTTTCTCTGTGTGCATTGCTGTACAGCTAACTTAAATGGGTGACTACATAAGGAAGGATGACTTCTTAACCATCACATATCAACCCGCTGCTGGAAGCAAAGTAAATGAATGCCCTGACTGGGTCTGGTACATGTTAGCTTCCAATTTCACTTTCTCTGCATAAAAAGATAAGAGGAATGCAGGCCTTTCCCTTTATCTCACCCAGTAACAATGCACCTCAGCAGAGATTTGAATGGGCTGCGGGATTATTAGGATTGTAATGTCTTGCTTTCCTTTTCAAGCGGGATGAAACTAAATGTAATCATCCGTTGGGTCAGATGAACACAATGGCTTCTCAGCTGCAGGCTTTCATCGCAGCGGCGATCTTGTATGGTTTGGCCTGGCAGGGCTCGGGGCTCACCCAAATTTTGTAGGTGTCAGATGTTTGGCACTCGGGAACTGAGCACCGAGAGCTGTGTTTGTGTCCCCCTGCTTTCTAGTCTTTCAGTATTGGGATACCGTCCCCATTTTAAGCGTGTGATATTTCGAGGAGGCTAATGAAAAGCTGCTTGGCTAAGTCCAATTCCACGTAACTGGAATTGGACTCAAACAGTGTTGTGTGCATTCTGGCAGGATCGTGGTGCTGTCTAGCAGGATGTTTGCTCAGCTTCAGAGCCTGGGCTTTTATGGTCTTGGTATTTTCTAGGAGCCAACTGACAGTGTGGTGTGGCTGTTGGCCTTCATTGTGACTATTATGTCAAGTTCTTTTCTGAAAAAGAAATCAAACCCAAGCTTTGATAACACCGCGTTTCAACTTCACAGGTTGTTTCATAAACACCGTAGGGGCGGCCGCTGCAGCCATTCTCGCTGAGCTCTGGTCAACTGCTTTTTGTAATTTTTCAGTTACAGCATCCTGTATGCTCTAGCCCCTTTGTTTCCCTAACGCTAATGCTCTGTTGCAGGCTCTCCTACCAGAGGAATGATGACGATGAGGAAGAAGCCGCCAGAGAACGTCGCCGACGGGCTCGACAGGAGAGGCTGCGGCAAAAGGAAGAAGGAGATTTATCGGGAGAAGTAACAGAGAAATCAGAAGTTAATGCCCAAAACAGGTAAACTTCTGATGTTGCTTACTGACAAGTCAACGGTAATTTTTGTTCAGAGTAGAGAAGTATCTTGAAGAGATCTGTTTTGCCACTTGAATTTTAAAAAGCAGGTTTGGCCATCCTTGCTCTGAAGAGGACCTAACACTGTGATGAGCACCACTGGCTGTGTCTGGACAGTGGGGTGAGGGCATCACTGAAACTGGGCTTGGGGCCTTGCTCAAGACCCATTCCCAGGGTGTCCTCAGGGCCGTCTGGGGGGTTACTCATTTGGGGCTCATGGAGGGAAACACCTCTGATGCATCCTGATGCCAGATTCCCTCAGGCATGACTGTGTCTGGCCTCGCAAACCTCCACATTTTTTGTCCTGCTTATAGTGGCCACGGTGTCATGGGGCCAAGGCACGTGGGATTGGTGGGGCACCCAAGCCTCAAGCTGCAGCTGAAAGATGCCTGCAAGGTGCTGGGGGTGAGGACTAGACCTCAGCCCCCATCTGACATTGTCGGGGTCATACAGCTGTAATAAACAGCAGAAAAGCTTATGTAGTGAGGTGCCCCTTGTCAGAAGCTGAGTGGGCAGAGCTGGGCTTCCAGCCTGTCAATCATTTATTCAGTTTTACATAGTCATAAATAATATATCCAGATTTCCAGTAGCCCTAACACAATTGATAGAGAAGACCAGAAATAAACATTGTGATATCAAGCTCATAAATACTGACCATAAGAAGCATTCTATTAAAGACAAGGAAAATATACACACATAGGAAAACAGCAACATTTCTGGTTGTAGATTATAATCTTTTCCTGCACTCTGGGGGTGAGGGGGAAGCTAGAAAGAGGGAAGAAACCTGCACACAGGAGAATTAAACAGCTGAATTTTGAAGGAGTCAAAAAACCTCCAGGGATTGAGAGTGAGACCCAGTCCTGATACTTACAGATGTTGAGTAGCATGTCTTAAATTAGGTGCTCTGCTCACTCTATTTTCTAACAGATTGTTGTCCCTGTACAGACAATCACAACCTCACTACACCCTTAATTGCCAGGCTATCCCATATGGACTGTATCTGTGGATATTGTTGCTGAACAGGAGTAGCTTTGTGTTGCTAGAGAAGTCAGAAAGTATCTTGCTTCTGTAGCATCTTCAAAAGTTTTGCCTGGTGGGAAGACTGTGTATAAGACTTGTATACTTCAGGCCAAGCTGAAGGGGGCCTTAAAGCAAGCTAAGGTCTTCCAAGTATTTTGCTGCAGGGGGCAGAGGGGGAGGATGAATTTTTCAGGGCTGTTTTCAGCTGCTCCCAGTGTCAGGGACCATTCCAGTGCCTCCTGAGGTCAGGAAGGCTCCCAGAGACTTCAGCGGCTGTTTGGAGCTCACCTAGAAGGGAACATTTCCAGGCTCTGATATTGTGAAACACCGTATTCCTATACATGTAGAAATGCCAAAATTAATCCCCAGAACCATTTAGTTAAATTTTTAAGGATGCAAACTGTTGTGATTTCAAACCATGGATGATGTTACAGTGAACTTTTTTTCCTAGAAACAGCTAAGTTTATACATTGTTAGAAAGACTCTTTTTTTTTTTAAATGCAACTTTGTCACTTTTATGTAGTGTGGCAGAAGAGGAAACCAAGCGTACTACAACCACGGGGGGAACAGATGATGAAGCTGCATTGTTGGAGAGACTGGCAAGACGGGAGGAGAGACGCCAAAAACGTCTACAGGAAGCCCTGGAACGTCAAAAGGAATTTGACCCCACGATCACAGATGGGAGCTTGTCGCTGCCCAGCAGGAGAGAAGTAAACAATGTGGAAGAAAATGAGACCACGGCGAAAGAGGAAAAGGCTGAAACACGCCGAGGACGCTATGAGATTGAGGAAACAGAAACGGTTACCAAGTCATACCAAAGGAACAACTGGAGGCAAGATGGGGAAGAAGAGGAAAAAAAAGAAGACAAAGACAAGGAGGAGGTGCAGGAGGAGAAACCAAAGGAGGAACCTGTAGAGGAAAATCAGGTAGATGTGTCAGCAGAAAAATCCACAGATAAAGAAGAGGTAGTAGAAACAAAAAATCAAGTTGTAAATGCAGAGGAACACAAAGCAGATACAAATGCTGTCCTAGAAGGGGAGCAGAGTATAACTGATGCTGTAGATAAAGAGAATCTTAGGGATGAGGAAAAGGCTGAGGAAGAAAGGAAGAAAGCAGAAGAAAGGGAGAGGTTAAAAGCAGAGGAAGAAAAGAAAGCAGCTGAGGAAAAACAGAAAGCAGAGGAGGAGAAGAGGGCAGCTGAGGAAAGGGAGAGGGCTAAGGCAGAGGAGGAGAAGAGGGCAGCTGAAGAAAGGGAGAGGGCTAAGGCAGAAGAGGAGAAGAGGGCAGCTGAGGAAAAGGCTAAGCTAGAAGCAGAGAAATTAAAGGAGAAACAAAAGATGGAAGAACAGAAAATAGAAGAAGATAAACAGGTAAAAGAGAAGAAGGTACAAGAGGAAAAACCTCAAGCAGCTTCCCTAGGCAAACAGGTACAGTAAACATTTTGCACCAAATTAAGACACCTGTGGTTTGTGAGAAATGTAATGCAAGAAAAAAAAAAAAAGGATTGAATTGGAATTTCCTCACAGATCTATTCCTGCACTGAAACGACTAATACTCCTGCTCTCTCCCCTGCTCTCTCATTTTTTAAAATAAATCTCCTGACTTCTGCTTACCAATAATGCAGTGCACAACATGCCAGACCTCACTCCATCATTCAAAGAAAACCTTGCATGTTCACACCTCTGCATGGTTTGTTTTTTTTTTTTTGCTGCCTTTTTTTTTCTCAGCTGCTATAAACTGGCCTAACGCAGTAACACATGAGGTGGAGGCAGACACGTCTTGACACAAAGTGTGAGCACCTTAGTAAACTGTGTGAGGAACGTGTGTGTGTTCAATGCCATCACGAGAGAAGGCTCTCTGCTGGGACACGTGAGCATGATGCCACACAAGGGTGAAGGGCCCAGATTGGGGGGAGTGGGGGTGTTTGGAGAGGGTTTTGGAGAAGAGCACAGCTGCACACGGAGATGTGGGCACAGCAGCATATGGTGGAGATGTGGCTGCACACAGGACTGGTACGTGAACACAGTGTGACAAAACAGAAGTGCAAACAGATGTGATGTTTTCATGTTAAAAAGAAATTATTAAAAACCCAAAAACAAAGGGGGAAGAAAAAGAGGTTAAAGTGGAAGCTAAAAAGGAAAAGTTGCCAGAAGAGAAGCTCCAGCCTACCTCCAAAAAAGATCAGGTAACTTGTAAACCATTAATTTAGATGTTGTAGGGAAACTTGAGATAAAAAAATAAATAAGGAACCCATAACTGAAAGTTGCTTGTTCAGGAAAATACTTAAGCATTTGCTTCACTTCAAGAACATTGGTAATCCTGCTGAAGTAAATAGGGATGTAGCTACTTATGTGCTTAAAATGAAGTAAATGCTTAAGTATTTTGTTCTTCTGGGGCTTTAGAACCAAGTCCTGTTTGTCTTAGAACAAATATTTCAGGAAACTCAGTTCAGTCAATAATGCAAGGATGATTTGCGCCCTAGGGATCAATTTTTCAGGACTGTATCAACTAATCATCCTACCCTGGTTTCCTCCCACTTTACTGTGAACTTTTTCCCTGTGACTGAGACTTACTCTTATAACAATAATCATCTAGGCCCTTTGGCCATCTGATTGACTTAACTAATGTTTTTTCCCCCAAACCCAATGCCCCGTGATATAAACTGTGCATACCCAAGATTCTTCTTTTGTTTTAAAGAGAAAATCTGCAAAATTTACTGCATTGCATTTCCACTGTAAACACAGGACCTGGTGCCATGGTGTTTTACTGTATGGTAAGTAAATAAGATTTGGGGACCATTTACTCTTCAGGTTACAGCTGGATGCAGAAAGTCATGTTCAATGTTCTGTAGCAACTGTGCTTTTGGTTCAGTGCAGCAGGTATCAAAATACTCCCCGATTCTAATTAGACATCAAGACTGGCCAGGGCCTTGGAGGTTTGGACCAATTTGGGTCAGCCAGGTCTGTGTGGCTTAGAGGGAGCTGCAGCACAGAGGTCTAGTAACAGGCAGCTGGCCGTCCATCCAGCTACTTGGGACCATTGAGGCTTGTGGAGGGTCCAGTCCAGCATCCTGAGTTGTTGGATTAATTCGAAACATACTGTAGATCCTTAGCTCACCCTCAGAGAGCAAGGAAGGCAAATCATGTCACAAGGTATTATGTCCAGTTGCCTGGCTGGATCATGCAAGGTATTGTATTTTGAGTAAGGTACAGATGAGATTGAAAAGGCAAATGGAGTTATGAAGATGGTTAGAAGAAACATTACTAATGAACAGGGAGAGAGACTGGCAATATTAGAATATGTTACTCCAGAAAGGGGAAGAGTTAAATGAGACCTAATGGAGATGCTTCAGAATAGTCCACTAGAAAAACTAAACAATCATTCTGCTCTAAACAAACCTGATTGCGAAAGCAGAGGAAAGAGCCGCACAAAAAATAAGGACTGGTTTGTATTAAGAGTTCTTCATAAGACAGGATCAGCTTGTAATGTTCACTGTTGCACACAATCTTTGAATATTACAAGTAAACGTATAAAGGAGGCTGTAACTGACCACAAATATTGATTCTGGGGGAGGACTTGAGACACAATTGTCCTGCTTGTGTTTATGTGGAGCTCATTCAACTCTCGCTGGAGCTCTCATCATGCTTTTAAACCCTAGCCACAGGGCTGGATTATTCCAGGAAATTGGTAAGACTTTTAAAAGTGACTTGTGATTTTAATGCTTCCATTTTTGGATGCTCAAGTTGAGATAATTTAAGAGAGTCCCATGTTTAGCGTAATGCTGAATACCCATCCATCAGAAGGCAGGTCTTTTTATGTGTATCAAGCTGAGCATTCAAAGCATTTTGCTCAGTTTTTAAAATCTCAGTTGTGAAGAAAAATTGACAATAACAGACTCCAAAGCAAGTCAAGATCAGGCTCCTATTTCCACTCCTCCCTCTACTTCAAGGACATACAAATTCAACGAGACTTATTTCTGAACCATATATACAGTTAGAGCATGAACAAGATCTTGAAGGAATACAGGGTCTGACCTACATAATCACATTTTGCTTTTGTAGTTGTGCAACACAAGCCCATGTCCTTTCTTAATGTGACCAAAATCTGGCCCTCAGAGTTCAGGTTTCGATCAAATTAGCAAGCAAAATCTGTCTCCTCTTCTGAACTGCCCCACAATTTTTGGTTCTCAAAAGTGGCCTGGAAAGTTCATAAGAACAAGTTTTCTCATGATGTGAGACTCCTGGTATTTCCTGCTTCCAGTTTGGCTAGACATACCGCAACAGTTGCTTTTCTCATGGTATTTGGGTATGGTAGTTGGCTCTAAATGGAAGCCCTAGACCCAGATGCCCCCAGCTTTTAAGTCACCAAGTAATTGAACCCAAATAAGGAATCAAATTTGCCAAATGGCCCCAACTTCGGTAACAGATTCACTGTGGTCTGAAGGTGTTCAAAGTCTAGATTTAGAAATCTCAACTCTCAAATATTAGCATAACACCCTAACAGGAAAGAAGCAGTGTAAAGATTACAATATAAATAAATAAAGCTGTAAATTAGCTAAACATGGTTTTGATCACATTCTATCTTGACTTGGTCTCACAAATCTTGACCACCATGTGAACTGTTCTCAGCTCAGGTAATGCCACCTGTCCACTCCAGCTGGAGTCAGTGTAGTCCTTTTTACTAAAATCAGCAGAAGCTGAATTAGCCTGTAATTTAGGGAAGCACTGAGATGAAGCTTTTCTGTTGCCTGCCTTCAGGATGGGAAGTCATGGTTTCTGCTTCTGTGCTTTTCAATCTCTGTTTTGACATTAAAATTAGTAGGAGAAGGATTGGGCCCAAAAGCTGTGAAATGTTTCTGTAATATTTTGTTTTATCATATTTTGGAATAAAGAGGCCAAGCTGTATTAATGGCTTTCTCAAATGCAGACACATTGCCATAAAAGTCCTACTGGCTTCTGAAATACTATTTCCTAACTTATTAATTTTTAAACTATGTTGTTTTAATATTAGTTTTCTCAGTGATTTCAATTAAGATGTAAGAGATATGACCCTCCCCAGTGGACTTCAATACATCGGGCAGCTGGAAGTATTGGCTTTTTAATGAGACTTAGAAAGGTCTTGATGAAAATCTCAGCAAATGAAATCCTATGCTCTCAAAATCCCAACACAGACATCCTGGCATGTGAAATCTTGCAACAATCAACATTGCTGGTTTCAGTATCACCCTGACTGGGACTGAAGGGTTAGGAGATTGCTAACAGGCAGCGGAGATTTTTGCTGTGAACATGATCGCTAGCTACAATCTTGCCCAGATTTGGGAACACCCAAAAAGATATTACTGTCTGGTGGCATTCCTTAGGCTCCATGAATAGCCCTGGTTGTCTCATCCCAGCTCCTAGAAAACAGAAAACCATTCCTTGAGGCTGCTAGAAATAATGGCCTCGTTTGCGAACAGTAACAGCATCATGGCCAAAGAATTCATGGTCATGGAAACTGAGCTCCCCTCTTGTCCATCAGGGCACTTCTGCCAGGTCATGGCTGAAGCCCTTTGGCAGGAGAGGGTGAGGAAAGTCTGCACGGCCACTGCCTGCTCTCAGGACAGAGCAAATGCCTCTGTGGGTTGTGTTCAACATTCCTCACCAGTGGCAAATTTGCTCGAGTAGTTTAACCACCCAGTGTGCACTTGCAGTGTGTGCCACCTTGGCATTGGCCATCATGTTGGTTTCCGTGAGCAAGCAAACTGGCCTCAGGTGAAGTCAGAGCCTGACTTTGGGACTTCACTCAGCAGCGTGATTTAATTCCTAGGGAGGATGTTGACTTTGAAGACTCTGAACTCATCCTTTATTAGTAAAAATATTACAGCTCCAGAAGCTCTTCTTTTATGAGGAAGGATAGAAATTTGATGTGATGTGATGTGTGTTAGTTTTTTATTTCAAGGTGCAGTTTGGAACACCATAAAAGCAGTTGTGTTGCAGACAGGACTGTTATGGAAGTTCTTTTTCTTTCTAATTAGCAAATGGGATGGCAGCAGGCTTCCAAGGGACAAAAATATTTTTTTTTCTAAATGTCTTCATATGGATTTTTTGTAGAAGGCATTTCCTGCTTGCCAGCTAGAATCTTCCTCCAACATGTTAGAGCTGGGAAAAAAAAAATAAAAAATATATATATATTTTGGAGGTAAATGTTTCATTTGCTGCTGTTGAAAATTTATTTCAGTTGGTAGTCTGTCTCAGTGCGAATAATTCCACCTGAGGACAAAGAACTTAAATCATTCCATATCCTCCTCCTCTTATCAGCATCTAACCATGATTCAGCATGCTGGGATCAGGATGTCTGTGATATTGATAAATACTTCAAGCTCGTAACTCTGAAGGAATACTAGAAAGTGAAATCCACGTGCTAAATAGACTTGATTACTATTAAGAAGTATAGGACAAAGCTTTGCAAGGATAGTGGGAATTTTTGCTTTAGTGTTTCCAGAGAGAACATTTGCTTCTTCATAGGATTAAATATTCATGCCTCATAATGCCATCCATGATTAACTCCTGGTAGGACTGTGCTTTTGGTCAGAGTAAGTTTTACTCTGATCAAAAGATAATTTTGTGTTTTGGCCATTATTCTTGAAATGCTGAAGTATCCATCTGCTACCACACTGGAAAGAGCATTAACTTTGTCAAGCAAACTTGACAATCAGTGAAGGTTATGTGTTATTTTTATTGCTCCAGTGCCCTAGAACTTGTATCAAGGATGTAACGACAAGAGATTGCAACCCAGAATCTTAATAGGCAATAGGTGAATGATGCTGCAGTGGGAGGGAAGAGGGTTGAGGTTCCTCAGTGGGGTGCAGAATGAAGCAATGTGGCAGCATAGTCCCATGGCTGCAGCAAACTTTCACTGAAGACTGATAATTTTATTCAAGATGTTTTCATCTTGAATTCAGATCAGGACAGCGGGGTGGTGGTTGGTCACGGTTTAGAGCTTTACAGGCTACTTCTGCCATAAAGTACATAAACATTTTGAAGATAGTTGCTTAGTTAATTATTAACACCAACAAATCTCTGTTCCTCAGCTGTTGTTTAGAATGCCTCATTGTGACTTCTTTTTTTTTTGTTTTGTTTTGTTTCTTTCGTTTTTGTTCTGCGGTTCATGGTGTCTCCTGAGCAGGTAAAAGATGACAAGGATACAGGAAAAGCACCCAAAGAGGAAATGAAAAGTGTCTGGGATCGTAAGAAGGGAGCTCCTGAACAAAAGGCACAGAATGGAGAACGTGAAATCACTGCCCCAAAACTTAAATCTACGGAGAACGCTTTTGGGTGAGTTCCAAGAGAGCATTGGGCTTGCTTATGCTATGGCAGAGCAGGGGGACATCTCTAGGTCTCTGCTCAATAGCCTCGTAGCAGCTGAGTAGAAGACTTGGGTTGGCACCACCAGCAGAGACTAGCTTTTATTGGGTTGTAGGTAGGAACGAAGGCTCTTGGCCTATTTTCTGATGAACTGCCCCCACATCGTTGCAATAACAAATGGAGTTCAGAAAGCAGATGTAACTAGCCTTGCTCCTTCAGTAGAGACAAGTGGCTTATTTTTGCTCTGCTGGGGCTTTCCTTCAGTGAAGGACATGTATTTCTAATATCTGCACAGAGGCCAATAATGACAACAGCCCAGATTTTGCTCTTTAATTTTTTAAGTTAGATCTCGGCCTTTTCTAAGTAACCTAGAATCATAGAATGGTTAGGGTTGGAAGGGACCTCAAAGATCATCGAGTTCCAACTCCCCTGCCCTGGGCAGAGACAGCTCCCACTAGAGCAGTTTGCTCAAGGACCCATCCAATCTGGCCTTGAACATTTCCAGGAACCTATTTCCAATTACCCATCTGCTTTTAATCAGACTCTATGTAGTAGTATGGAGCACAATCCAGTTGGTAACTCTTGAAAGAGCTTCTTTCTTGATTTCAAGGCAAACCTTGAAATTAATGGCTTCCCTATAAAAGTGATTTTTCAGTTAGGTGAAAGCCTCTCCTAGGCAAAATGTTCTATTTTTTGTCTTTTTATAAGCTGTATCACAGTTTGATTTTCTACTTAAATATTTGCCGTATGGCTATATTGGGAAATTCAATGAAGGTTACAAATTTCTAGTGGAAAGTTCATTAAAAAAGGATTCTGCCTGCTAAAAGGAGGGGATACATGAAGCAGTGTAGAAGTTCTTCCTCTTAGCAGAAAAACAGGAATGACTAGGATAGAAATATTATTTTTTTTTTAACTTCTGCACCTCTCTTCCTCTTTTACATTGACCCAGGCAAAGAAAAGGTTAAGCTCTCCAGGCACTTTGAGAAATCTGTGCATGGCAGATGGGATTTGCTGTTGTATCTCAGCATTCCCCTTGTGATTCTTCCGGGAAAATCAAACTTTCTCAAAATAAAATGCAGTTCAAAAGTCCCCAGAGACACCCTGACCTAAGGCCAAAAGACAGACAGAGATGGTGATGGAATAGCAGGAAATCGGCCTTGCTCAGAAACTGTCCTGCTTCATGACTCGGGTCACATCATCAATAACATGAGAATGGTTTTCTAAAAATATTTTTGTTGTGTTTTCATTTGCTTTACTTCCTGTGGGAGAAAGGCCTTAGTGGCAACATGTAGCTTTGAGTTTCCACTCGTTTTTTCTTTTTTCTATTTTTTTTTCTACTATTTCCCAAATGTGGGAGAAGCCTGTTTAATAGCCTTTTGTCAGCTGAGTAGAAAACTTGAGTTGGCAACATCAGCAGAGGCTCTAGTGTTCATTAGGTTGTTAGGAATGAGTTGGGGCTCTGAGCCCATTTTTTAATGAACTGCCCCCACGTTGTTGGCTTTGTTTGGAACCGTCTTCATGTTTTTACATGAACATATCAGATACTAGCTAGGGAGCATGTAACTTGGCTAACTCTCAGTTGTGAGGATTGAGAATCAAACAGGGTAGTGGAGGCTAAAGAAAAATCTTATCTGTGTCTTGTTTGTCTACGTCAGTCAGTAAGAGAAATATAGAATAAAACCCCATTTTATGGCTTCCCCTTCCCATCTCCCCTCCCACCTGCCTTCCTCCCTATTCTCATACAGGACTGCAAAAGTCTTAAATATGATGTCACATGTTTTTTCTCATTGTTTTGCCATTTTTGGCTCCCAGAAACCACTTCTTTCCTCTTCCTCCTTGTCTGAAAGCTGGCAACTAACTTAATTTCTTAGTACCAAAGAGGTGCTTATGAAACTCTTCCTCCACCCAACATCTCAATACTGATTTTCCAATGTCAACAGCAGGGAACAGAGATTCCCAGAATCTGCTGAAAACAGAGGAGCTTGGGGAGGTGGAGGAAAATAAGGAGAATTACTGCCAGTTTATTGTTTGCTATTTTGGATTACGCAGAACCAGTAGGGGAAGTCCTGTGAGCTGCATGAGAATAAAATTAGCTTGAAACTTTTAATGTCCTTCTTTGTGAGGAGGACGAAATAGTCACCTCAGGTCTCCAAACAAAAATGTTAAGACTGGATTCTACCTTTGATTTTTATCAGTGGAAATCTGAGAGTAGCTGTTAATGTCATTGAGGCTATCTGCACTGAAGTCACTGAGGACACAACCTTTCTGTGCTGATATAAAACAGCGTATTTATTAAAAGAATCTTGGCAAATGTTATGCTCTTGGTTCTCATCATTTTGAGGGCTGAGTATTTGCCCTTGCCAGGGATATCATGAAGTCTGTCATAAGTGACCTCTTCCATCTTCTTTGGGCCTGAAGCTGGCAGGTCTGGGCGGGCTGACAACACAGACTTCAGAGACCAAGAAGCAACAAAAAATATATAAATAATTAGTGAGGTTCCTGGGATGTTTGCTATAGAGGCTACAACCTTGGAATGAAGGAATAGCCTTAGAATAGCCAGGGATTTCTCATGACCCGTGCAGGATAGGTACACTGGATCCTTAGAAATAATTAGTGCCTTATAGAGGTTTGTGGAACATTTTGGGTTTTCAGTACCTCAGCAGACCGAATCAGAGGTATTTCAGGCTGGACACCCAAAATCATACCTCACACCTACACCTCAGGTATTGGTCCTCGCTTTGTTTTTGAATGGGCCAAATGAAATTTCAAATAAGGTTTCGAGTGTTTTCTCACAATGCTTTAGTTAATTGCATATCTAATTTTTAATTTAAAAAGCGTGAGTTTCTTTCTGTAATTAGACATTGCTACCTGATGCAAGCCCTTTTTCGTGCCCACTTACATTAACTTGATGTTTATGGTGCAGGGCAATCTTCTCGCGGTTCTACTTTCATGGTTTAGGTTATTGCACTGCAAAACCAAATTCAGGAATATGTTCTGGAGCAGAAAAGGATTATGATGAGGTGATACTAGAGAAATAGACACTATACACCTGTAACTCTAGCTTAGAAAATGGGGCATGAGAAGGTGCTGGGGGTACATACATTCACAGACCACTGGGACTTTTTTTTTTTCTTAAGCTTTGCTTTGTGATGTTACACTCTTGCATAGAAAAGACTTTCTAATACCAAGTCAACAAATTGCAAAAAAGGTGCAGGGTCCTACTACTTTTAGTGTTGAATTTGCACAGGTGAAGTACAACAGCTAAATTCACATAATAGCAACAGATTTGTTATGCTGTTTTGCCATATGTTTTTTAATGATACAATTCCTAAGTCATGCATGCTGTGCTAGAACCAAATTTCAGCCAATTTGGTAAGATCATATGGAAGCAGAGGACTCTGCTGGTAGATTCTGTTTTGATACTGAAACCACAGATAATTCAGCTCTGGTCCTACAGCCTGTTTTATGTAGTTAACTCCATCTAGATGAGGTTTCTATCGGAATGAAGAGCACCTTTGCAGCACTGGGTGGGATTCACTGGATTGCAAATTTATGTGATATTTGTTCTTCATGTTGTCATCTCTAATCTGGTCATCTCTAACAGTTATTGTTGTAATGCTTGATTTGTACGTCTTGTGGCATTATACTCTGCAAAAGTCTGGTTGCATTAATGGAGTTGTCATATGCAGCTTATTTACAGAACAGAGCAGAAAGGTTTTCGTTTTTTTTTAAAAATTTCTGTAAGTACATTCCCTTTCTGTCTCTTGTGACTAGCACACTGATATCTCTTAGGTACCTATCTCCTTGTCAGCAGTAATATTAAACGCTCTCAGGGAGTAGACATTTGTCTAAATACTGGTGTGGTGATTGTTTAACTAGGTGATGCTATCTGACTCTGTTGAAACTATTCACTTCACCTATGCAAATTCTTTGGGGTTTTTTTGGCTGTTTTTTTTCTTTTTGGTGTTCGTTCTTTCTGCCTCATATATTACCACTGGTTGGAAAACTTCTGGTTTTCTCCTGTGGAAAGTTGCCATTAATAAATAATTTCCAGCTCCTTAATAAAAAGTCATACTTTCCCTGGAAAATGTCTTATGAACATTTCTGTTCATACGGGCTGGGAGAGTTCAGGTGGTAGGTGTTACAGGAACCTTTGTAGATTTATAAAATGCTGTTGAAGCTGTAACATTCTCTTCCCTCTCTTGTCTACTTCTGTTTTCCCCAAGTCGGGTATGTTGTTCTGTCCCCAGAGTTGCTTGTCTTTTTCTAGAGGGTTTATAAAAAAATATTTGCGTCTGAAAGCAAAGGATTAGCGTGTCTTTTATTACACAGAACATAGTATAATATTTTTGCTCTGAGTTTTTAATATGTAAATTTATCTCATTTAAAATCAATAGAGAGGAATTAATTACAGCTTTCTATTGCTTTTTTGTTGCTGTTGTTTTTTTCTGTATGAAGTGTAATATGCTTTTGGAAGTGTTTCCTCCGTACACAAACTGCAGAGCAGAGGTGTGGAACCGTAACAGTTTACTCTGTACCATAGAGATGGTGATGAGCTGAGGGGAGACCTTATCACTCTCTACAACTCCCTGAAAGGAGGGTGTAGAGAGGTGGGGGTCAGTCTCTTCTCCCAAGTCACAGGCGACAGGACAAGAGGAAACGGCCTCAAGTTGCGCCAGGGGAGGTTCAGGCTGGATATTAGGAAAATTTTTTCACTGAAAGGGTCATCAGTCAGACATTGGAATGGTCTGCCCAGGGAGGTGGTTGAGGCACCATCCCTGGAGGTGTTCAAAAGACGGGTTGATGAAGTGCTGGGAGGTATGGTTTAGTGATGATGCTCCTTGTTTGTTGTGTGGGTGTCTATTTTTGTCAGTTAGGTTGACGGTTGGACAAGATGATCTTTAAGGTCCCTTCCAACCTAGAAGATTCTGTGATTCTGTGATTCTGATATCTGTTGTTGAAGTTATATGAGATGCTAAGTATTTCAAACTTGGTTACTGAATTCTCTTAAAAATGGAGGTGGCCCGAGTTCTCAGGCAGGGTGGTGCAGCTCCTGTGTGCGCAAGCGGGCAAGAGATGCCTCCATCACTGGCAGTAGATGGGAGAGGTGCTCCTTGTAGTATCCCAGCCTACCAACTCCCGATGAAGATGTTTTGGGCCTGACATAGTTCACAAGGAGCAAAAGGTCTTATAAGGCCCTACTTCCGAGTGCCAGGCTCTCGTCTTTGCTGGTAATTCACGTGGCAGCAGGTGGCTAAAGCCAGGAAGGCAAACCCCATGGTGCATCACCTTTCCTTTTCGCTTTCTTTTCCAGCCGCTCCAACTTGAAAGGGACTGCGAACGCCGAGGAAGCGAAGCCGGGCTCTCAGGCTGAGATTGCAAAGCGGCTAGAAGATCAGCGCCGCCGCCGAGGCGAGAACGAGGATTTTGAGAAGCTGAGAGAGAAGCAGCAGGAGGCGGCAGCAGAGCTGGATGAACTGAAGAAAAGGCGAGAGGAGCGCCGGAAAATCCTGGAGGAGGAGGAGCAGAAGAAGAAACAGGAGGAGGCTGAGAGAAAAGCCAGAGAAGAGGTAAGTGTGAAATACGATTTCGCTGAATTTCACTGAATTTTTAGAGTTGGAAGGGACCATAGGGATCATCTAGTCCAACTCCCCTGCCAAAGCAGGACCACCCAGAGCATGTCAGATCATGCCACTCAGGACTGCATCCAGGCGGGTCTTGAAAATCTCCAGAGAAGGGGACTCCACCCCCTCCCTGGGCAGCCTGTTCCAGGGCTCTGTCCCCCTCACCGTGAAAAAGTTCTTCCTCATATTCAAGTGGAACCCTTTATGTTCCAAATTGTGCCCATTGCCCCTCGTCCTCTCACTGGGAACTACTGAAAACTACTGAAAAGAGTCTGGTTCCTCTATGATGTATTGGACTCTATTTTTATTCCCCTGTTGTTACTACTTCACTTCCACTGGCCTTGCGCTAGTCGGTAACTCTTTACTGCAGTGTCTGCACAGACACTTTCAGGCCATGATGTTGGTGAAGCTGGAGGTTGATGGGTCTGTATTTAAGAAAAGGGCAAAATGAAGCCACAGGAGACCGGCTCATAGGTGAGGAAGGAGCATGCAATGAGGAAGGCAAGACCAAACCCAAACATACAGGCTAAAGTGTGCTTCTCCTTCTTGGATCTGATGTTGCTGCGTGGGGAATTGCTGCTGTGACTGCTTCAAATTGTGCCCTTTATCTGGACCTTCTGGGTTGTGTGCTCTTCTGGGCATCGCTGTTTCTTAGCATCTGTCAGGATCTGTCACAGCAGACCTTGATTTCAAATATGCTGCCCAGCCTTAAAATCACCCCATTTTCTAACCTTCAGATTTATCTGTAAGTATGCCATATCTGATATCAAGTGACCACATCACACGGATGTTCTAGTAAGCATGTGAGGTAAAACGTGCAGTCGTGCAGGGTAGAAAGAAACGTTGCAGTGCTAGCCTCAGGAAAGATGGGGCTCTAATAAATGCCTTCATGAGGCAGGATTTCTTCTTCAATAGCTGCATATATTGGGGATACAAAATGTTGAGGGCAGTGTTACAGCCACAGAGCTCTGAATTTATTCGAGGTGTCTTTTTGACATTACACAAGTTGAATTACTGAGTGCACGTCAAAATTTGAGCTGGAATGCTAATGTTATATATAGTTACAGTGGGCTAGATCTCATTAGGAAGATATTCTCGTCTATTTAAATATTGAGTACCCAAGCACATCTGTTTGCTTGTTCTTCCTCTGCCAAGGGACTCCATAAATAGGATCTCCAAATCTCTGGTGCATCGTTTAGGAGCCTTAGTTGTTTGGAAAACAAATGGTAGATGAATAATAACAGTATTTGCCAGCTGAATGCCAGTTGCTTTAATATGCTAAGTTCTTTACAGAGGAACTCCATAGATGCTGAGATTGCAAAATACCTTGCTGGTCAGACCCTGCTCACAATGGTTGTGCTTTTGAGGGCTTCTGGTTTGGCTTGTAGTTTATGAAGTAAAAACTCACATTAACTCTTTCAAGGGGAAACTGTAAGCATTTGATCTTCACTTTTTTTGGCGCCTACAGATTTTCTTGTGAAGTATTAATCTTGGCACAAGTGCCAGACTAGATGGACAGAAGAACAGTACAAAGGTGATACATGAGGATACAGAAAAGCTGAATTTTAATGTTTTTATAAATGTGCTTTTTTTCTTTAAGTGTCTCTATATGGCAATAAATCTGGTGACCTCACTGTGAGAAGCTAAAGCAGCACAGACTAGCTGTCCTCCCTGCTTGCTTAGCATTCTGATGGATTAGCAGCAATGTGTTGCTACATTTCAGATAGGTCCCAACTTCTTTGACTGGCGTAAAAATCAGTTCTTAGAAAATTTGGTAAAATATTGCAGGACTGCAAAGCTCTGTAATGGTGATATAGTTTCTGAAAGAATAACTGACCATTTGTATTTTTTAAGGAGGAAAAGAGGAGGATGAAGGAAGAAATTGAAAGGAGAAGGGCTGAAGCTGCTGAAAAACGTCAAAAGATGCCAGAAGATGGTGTATCTGAAGACAAGAAGCCATTCAAATGTTTCAGTCCTAAAGGTTCATCTCTTAAGGTAACGTCCCCGCTAACATATATATAGTACATAAAAAGTAACAAGGTTTGCAGTCCAAACCAGCAACCATATGCTTTCCATACAAAGCAGTATGGAAATACTTGAAATCAGACCTGGGACATTGCTGTGAAATAGACCTTAGCCTGAAACCTTTAGCTGAAAGACTTCATTCATCGGGATGATTGAAAATTAAAGATCCTTTCTAAAAATAGAGTCTAGACTGGAAGTTACCTGTTCTTGTTGATGAAAAATATCCAAAAATTATCTTCACCTTCAAGAGAAAATTATTTTGGAAGCTTAGAGCTGTATTACTGTGTTGATTTTCAATGCTAAAGTTCCCTCTCCTTCCGCATCCACAATCACTTTCTTCCTTGCCAGTTTACTTTGTCTTTAAGCATATTTCGCCAAATCATCATTAATTGAAACTGCCCCATAAGGGAGTTCTAGCTTATGGCTAATCCCCCAAAAAATAACATCTAGAAGTACTGGGCTGGATTTCATTTTCTTACATAACAGCTGAAAAAACCCCATTCTGTTGCTGCAGGAATTTCTAAGTGGTCTTCTGTGGCCTATATCATATTGGAAGTTAGATAAATCAATTAAATGGCCTTTCAGCATGGAAGAGGAGTCCCGGCCCCACTGAAATTATTGGGAACTTTGTTGCTTTCTCAGTGCAAGCTCAAACTACTGATCTATTAGTTGTTTTCGACTGTCTTTTCCTTTTTTCATTTTGTGTCATTAGTCATTTAAGAATCCAGAATGTTTGTCGAGGAAAGCTCCTTAGTGGGCACTAGTAGAGAAAAGAACCAGGCAGGAGGTTATCAGATAGGAGCTCATTGGACCATGAAGTGGATCTCCACGGGGTTAAGAATGCTATTTTTTAGGGACAAACTGCAGTTGGTCAAAATGACATTTCTGCTCACAGAGAGATACACTTTAAACTGATCTGGAGCTTCAGCCCTATACTGTTTTGCGCCCAGTTATAGCAAATACAGTGTCCAAATGGTTTTGACTGGACTTGCCTTTGACCCGTCAGACACATCTGAACCTGAAATACAGGAACAGAGTACATACAGCTGTAAGTGAAGATTGCCAAGCTTCACAACTTGCTCCTAATAGATAAACCTGAGCTTGCCATTTCAGTTGCAAAAGACCACGTCAGTAACAGACACTATAAACGTACAGCTTCTTCCCAGCCCTCCTGGGAGGGCTTCTTTTTCTTCTTTCTGTTTATTGAGATGCCTTTTATGACATACACTTGGAGCTTTAGTTCACAGATGACTCAGAAGAGAGGAAATTATACTTGAAAACACATAATCGAAAGATATAGATCGTAATTTGGGGGAGAGTGGGGAAAAAACACTGGATTTGGCAGGAGGTTAATAGCTTTCAGAGAACTTTTGGACTGATGCTACATTATTCTGCTAAGTGTATTTTTAGAGGAAAGCTGGAATTTTCCAAATGTCGTTAAGGATCAAGGTCTGATTTTTTTATGATGATTATTGCTGCTGGTTTTTATGGCTCGTTAGATAGACGTTGTTTGTTACAAAGACTGATATATGAAACTCTGTGCACATTTTTTCTCTTCCTCTGTTTCTCTCTCTGAGAAATTGGTGACACTGTACATATTCTAGTCTGGTGTCTGTGGGTGGCCAGAGTAGATATGTAATGCTGTTGAACTTCACACCCTAAACTGTTTCTTGGCCTTCTGTGGTCAATAGCTGAGGAGAGAAGAATCCCATTTTAATAACCTGATGTCAAATTTGATGCCAAACTCCAGTTTTTAGAAGACAGTGTATTTTGTTACATTTCATTTGGACAGGCTTCTCGGGCTAGTCTAACTTGGTTGGTATGTAGCTTTTTTGTTGCCTGTTATGCACTGCCCAGGTTATCTTTCGACTTGTAAAGCACTTGGCACACATTTTCTCCCCTGATGAATGCATCATCTGGTTAGATGTGTCATGAGTCATGTGAGAACCCTAAATGCACAATTGTGGGTGGGTGGTTGGAATTAATAATGAAAAAAGAGAGGCTCAGTATTAGAACACTGTATGATACATGTGCACATTCTGACTTCTCTAGATCACAGTCTGGCAAAGCATCTTTTTCTCCTTCCTTGTCCTTCCTGATGTGATAAGTTTTTGGGAAGAAAGGGAAGTTCCTGGGAGTAATTTAGATGAGGAAATTAGGGCATGCTGTTTACCAAATGAACGACAACAACCAAAGGAAAAAGGGAGATAAACTGAAAAGGAGTGTGGTGTATTGCCATCTTATGGACACTGCATTTATCCATCAGGCAGGGCATGGACCAGCATGACATCCAGACTGAGAATTGAGAGATCAAGATGTGCAATTCATCTCCATGTATCACATGGCTCAAGGATGCACTTATCTAATGCACTTATGTATGTATACAAATAAGGACATAATACACATTCATGCTGATATTTAGAAAGAACTACCATGATTATCTAGTAAGGCCTCTAATAAATCACAGCCTACACAGTGCTGGCAAATCCTGGTGTGTTAACTGTTTAACACAGTATTTCCCTGAAACTTGAGACGCTACTTCAGCAGAACTGCTACTGCAGCATGGAGTCCTCCCAGTGACAATACCAGAGCTGGTCCTTTCCGAAGTGACAATGAAGAGGAAGCATGAAAAATAAATACAGGACAAGTTCATCACTAGCTCAGGGACAGAAGCAGCTTGGATTTCTCAGGGCTGGTGGAGTCCCTGTGGGCAGTAACAGCAGTACCAAACCACCATCCAGACTCTGCCCTCTTTCTTGGGTTTTGTTCTAAGGATACAGACTGGAACAACCTCTGCTGCTCTCTCATCCCACTCTAGCTCATGCTTTCCCTAGTTCAGGTCACACAAATGGTGCTGTAGTAGAAGAAAAAGATTTCCTGCATAATCTTTGTTCGTTCCTTTTTAGACAAGTTCATTCCTCATGTTTTCTTTGGGAAGGAGTGTTATTGATTTCTTGTATAACTATTCTCTAGGTTAATCAGGAGCGAACAGGATATTTCAAGACTAAGTCTCCTCTTGAGGGTGAGCTCAACCTCTATAGAAATGCAAAAGCAATAAGGCATTGATGGAAGGAAGCGATGGCAGGAGGCTGGGATGTCTCCTGTCTGCAGAAAGTATCTCCTGGGAAACATGGGTTGATGTGGCAGCCTGCACTCTCTGTAAGGCAATGGTGACAGCTAAGCCAGAAGATACGACTTTTCAGGGCTTGAGATATTTTATTTTTTTTCCTTTCCTTAAAGATCTATTTTGTCCTATCTCATTATTTCTCTCCATACCTGACAGCTGGGGCAGTGACTGGAAAGAATTAGACTCCACACAATCCATTCTTCCTAGATGAGCTACTCCTATAGCAGAGGGAAGATAGAGTGGTATGAACAGGATTTGTGACGTTTGTTTTTCCCCCATCTTTGATGCTGATGGCAGCACTCTAGCCTGGCACGTAAACTGGAGTAAATTGGTGTACTCTGCTGCTGACAGCAGGAAAAAGCCTAGTTGTGCTTAATGAAGCAAGAGAGCATGTGAGCCACTCAGAACAGAGAGAAGCCACTTTACTCCCAGGGACTACTCCTCAAAATGGATTTCCACTAGGGTCTTCTACCTGTTAGAAATAAGGCAAAATTTTAATACAGGGGTTTCTGTTTTCTGCATGCTTTTCTTATTCCCTTTTCTCCTTGACTCATTTTTTGAGAAGAGTTTTTTTATATATCATTTGATAATACACTCTGTCACATAATATCTAATACACAATTGAAAATTCCTAAGAATCATTTAATGTCTTTGTGTGAAACAAATTTTATTGGGAACATCTAGATGTTTTTTGTTTCCCAAGTCATTGGCTGAAATTGTGTGTTAACTCATTCCTCTTCCATCCTGTTTGTATCCTTGGAGGGTGTACAGATGGAAGAAAGTGTACTTTGACAGCCACACTTGAACTGCATTTTTAATAGGCAAGAAACTTCCTGAACAGTCAGTGAAGAAAACATGTCTATATAGTGTTGAATGTGGAGAAAGGCATACATATATCTTTGTATAATATGTTGCTTAATTTATTCCTTGCCACCTGCATGTGCTGGCCCCATTGAGTAAGACCCTAATCAGGTGTGAGACTCCACATGGTTTTGATTTATGTCTGTTGGTTTCATTTCCCCTGACTTTACTTGCATAAGGGTAGGTGACCATCTAAGGATTTTGTTGTCTAATCTAAGCTGCTTTGGTAGTTGAAAGACAGAGTGAGTGCCACCCTCAGTGGTCAAGCACCTTTCCTAGGGTGAGGTGAGCTCCAGTGACTATGGAGGGAACCAAATGAGAAGACTGGACTAAATGCTTAACTTTCAAGCAACTAAGGTTTATTGAGAGAGATGCAACCTGAGATCCCGTGCTCTTTCCAGTCATAGTCTCTTTGGAGACCTACAGGTTGACTTTGGAGCATGTGTTCTGTGTCGGGGGCTTTGGAAAGTATTCCATGGAGACAAAACATAGCCCCAACCTATTTAACAACATCCTGTTATAATGAATGCAGAAAAATGATTATTCTTATTTCTTGGTCTCAATTTAAGGAACTATCTTGCATATTGTGGTAACCACCTTGCTTTGTCTATTTCTCTTACAGATCTATTTTGTAATACTGTTTACTGTATGTGCCAAACATTTTAAATTCTTTGCATGGTGTTTGTGTTGGTGTGCAGTGGATAAATGACCTTTAGATGTTGCTGTGCAGCTTAAATGTGTTTGAATACACATGTGTATAGAGGTGTGTTTGCTGTAAGTGTATTCAATGTATGCTTCTATTTGCATACTGTGTTTTCAGGAAGGTACTCTAGAACAAATTTCTTGTGTAAACGTGCAGAAAATCTGTTATCCATCCACAGCAGGCACCTGCTTTCTTGGGAAGAGGACCATGTTCAGTTCTGAGGGCCACTTCCTAACTCTGCTTTCCTGTTTCACTTATTTTCTGTTTGCTTCCTCGCTCTCCTGTTCTGAACAATTCCTGACTTATCCCTGACACCGCAGTAGGTGCTCTGAGAACTGCTGTTTCCATTGTGTAAAGAACGACCCCATATCTTTATATTACAGCCCTAAGAATACATGTCCCTCTTCCCCCAGTCTGTCCCCATCTTACACCAGTGCCTATTGCAGCCAGGTTGTCCTGCTGTGTAGAAACATCTCTCCTTCCTGAACACAGGAAGACTGTAAAGAAGCTACTGTTGGCATCTTTTAAGATCTGTCCCTTTTGTGGAACCTCAGTTAAAGCCAGGCTGGATGGGGCTTTGAGCAACCTGCTCTGGTGGGAGGTGTCCCTGCCCATGGCAGGGGGGTTGGAACTGGATGATCTTTAAGGTCCCTTCCAACTCTAACCATTCTATGATTCTATGCTCTAAATTCATTATTAGGTGTGACCTTAAGTCCTGGTTGAGACAGTCCATATTGTTTATCCTTGCTGCCAGGCAGGGTTTTGCTGATGCAGTTGGGGAACTACCCCTTCATGCAGAGCAGGGGAGAAACCAGCAGCTCTTGTTGGTCCAACTCACCGTTTTGATGCATTGCTGGTTACGACCCAGAAAGAAATCAGACTTGTGGGAAACTTCTTACTACACCATAGCCGAGGAGAGGTGATGTGTTTGAGGTTCGCATCGTAGATCTGTTTAATCACTTTTGATCAAATAATTTACTTGCTGGTGTTGTGGCAATGGTCTGTTGCTGCCACCTTGTGACAACAGTGCACTGAGATGGTTGGTACATATTCCAGCAAAGCCCATTTTTCCACTCAGGACTGCATTTAGAGCATATATTGGCAACTAAAACCGTTAATGTAAATTACTCTATAAATTGTATATATATTTTTTTAGAGCTTCAGAGGTGCCTTTGAGCTGGATTGATGCTAGCTGGAGTTCTTCCCGTAAACTAGTTTGGCAAATTCTGCACCGAAGTGAACTTCCTGAGTTTTGGCTTGTATAAGCCTGAGAAATAAAACATGCGTGCCCTTTGATGGGATTGCTGAGGGATTTAGTATTCTGGTACAGCCTTGGATACTAAAAGGCACGGAGGAGAACCATTTAAAGGAATGGCTGTCATTGCCTTATTTTAAAGGCATGAATGCCACAGCAGTAACTTGAAAATGGGCAGCCCACACCGAGACTGGGGAATCCCCAGGAATCCAGCTGGGCTGATTATAAATCGTTTCTATCCCCTGGAGCTGCTTGTGTATATTTTACTCCTAAGTGAAACTGAAGAGCCTGGGACAATGGATGTGGAAGAGACATGAGGAAGTCGATTAAAGTATTTCTTGACTCAGAATGCAAATTTACCCTCCATCGTGAAATGTTTTAAAACTTTATGCAGGGATAGTATCTTTTTGTTTTCAAATTATCGAGAGATTTGGCATAAGTCTTATGAGACCTTCATGATTCTTTTTGCCTGGAAACATTACAATATTTTCCTATGCACAGAGTTGAAAATAATGATGAACTTAAGATATCAGTTTGTGTAATAACAGCTGGTAGATACTGACTCAGCAGCGACCTTGCTGAACCTGAGCAGAATACACTCTCATTGGTTTTTTTGGAGCTTAAATTAAATTTTCAGTGTCCTGCAAAAACATGCATGGGATAGGGGTATGTGGCTAAGCTCCAAACCTGGCCTGGTCTGATATCTAAACTCAGAAAAACTCCATTAAATTTGCTCTCTGTCTCAAGAGATACATACTCGTTCTTATGTGGGAGATATGAGGAAATTTGACATCGATTTTGTGAATATCAACCCCTTTTTTATAAAACAAACTTCTCCCCTTTTCTCTTTTTTGTGTTGGTGGGTTATTCTCTTGTTACCAATGAGGCACTGAAGAAATATGTGGGATGCAAACACTAATGGGGAAAATATATCTACACTTATGAAATCTGTAGCATAATAGGATCCTAACTATAAAATCTATGTGTGTCTCTGTGGTGATTTCTGTTGGAATGCATCTCTTCCAGATTGGCCGTTTGACATTTAAAATGACATTTTAGCCTGCCTTTAAAAAATAAGGTTAATAAAAAGGCTGCCTTTTTCTTAATTTTAAACTTATAGTTCTTGTTTCTCTCTTTTCTAGATAGAGGAGCGAGCAGAATTTTTGAACAAATCCGCTCAGAAGAGGTAAAGCAACAAAACAGTAGGTTAAGTCAAAACAGCAGTGTTTCATTGGAGGGAATAATTTATTTTTTTTTCTCTTTTTTTTTCTACTTCCTACAGTGGTATGAAACCCACCCACACAACAGCTGTTGTCTCAAAGATTGACAGTAGACTTGAGCAATACACTAGTGCAATTGAGGTAAGTTAAATCCAGGTCACGATGACGCTGGTTAGTAACGGCTTTTGGGACTTTATTCAGCCTGTGCTTTACTGGTGGAGAATTGCAGCCATTTTTGGTCACAAACTCTTTCTAAGGTGACTTCAAGAACAAAATGCTTGAGGCACACCTATACCCAACATCTAGATATATACCTAAACAAAACCTCAGATTAGCATCTTCCCTTTCATGCAACGGTTTGCTCTGCTTTGTAAACTTGGAGTAGCTCCTGAAGGACTCAGCCAGCACCTCTTGAGTGACAGTCACATCCTCTTCTCAGCTGATGAGATTACTATCAGCAGGGAGCTGATAGTGATCCTGAGCAAAGCTGATTTAGCAGCTTATTTAGGAGAGCAAGGAACTGGGCCTGTGTCCTTGGCTGCCACATCAGAGTGAAATTCCTTGGCGAAGATGGACACTTCAGTGGACTAGGGAGTTAAGTAGTGATAAAGGAAAAACAGAATAAAAAAAAAAATGTGGAATATGACCCCAGGTGATTTTGACAAGTAGTGATTAATAATATACCTTGAAGCCAGAACTGAGGGCTTTTTCTATTCATAGTTCAAGGAAAAATAGGTGAGTTGTTTTTTCTCTTGGTCTGATTTTTTTTTTTTGGCTGTTTTCATAAATCAGTGAGTACACGCAATGTGAAAACTAGTAGTTAGCAGGCCAGCTGGACTCTCTAGGGTAGGTAAGTGTCATGGGAATAAAATAGCATGAAGAAGGGTATTGATTTGATAGCTGTGATTAAGGTCTAGCACTTCTTCATTCCCTGATGGATTTTTTTTTCCTCCCCTTGTTCACATATAGAGTCTAAGCATGGTGTTCCATTAAGGTATTAGTTGGTTAGGCTTTACATATTTCCTTTAACTTAAAGGAAACTTTGGCAATTAAAGATCAATTTTTTCTGTGACTGCTTTCTGCTAGGAAGCTTTTCAGTGCTGGAGAGTTTTATACTGTGTGTCATTTCCCGATGAAAAAAGGACATGTGAGACTGTGCTGAAGGCTCAGGGTTGCCTCCAGCACCTATGTCAAGCTGAAGGTAGCTCAGACCCCTCTATTAGAGATGAATGGGCACCCCATAGTCCCCCTATGACCAAACCAGGAGCATAGAGCTTCTGTTCTCCTGCTTGACTCTGCGCCTTTTGTGGATGAGACGTAACCACCCTAGAGAGACCAAGGGCTTTGATGTTAAACTCCTTAAAGAGAGTGGATGGGTTGGAGCTACAGCTCTGTCTGTTTTAAGAAATTTAGGTAATCATGAAGGTTGTCAACCCATAAGCACTGGACCAGCCCACCCACCAGCTTATGCTAGGTTCACCAGCATTTTCAGTAGGGCTGTGCTAAGGTCCTGAGTCTTTACACTCCATTTAGATACTAAAAAGCATAGCTCTACAGCAAGGCGCAGGCAGTGCAGCTTCATGGCTATATTCAGCTCCCATCTGACCTGAAATTATTCCTTTGCTGAGTTTCTCATTTTTCAAAAGTTGCCCAATCTGACTTGCTCTGTGACTAGAGAGGCAAAGCCTCAGCTCATGTAGGTTCTTATTCTCCTTAAATCTGTGTTATGTAAAATGTACAAGAATTTGGAAGAAAAAGGAACAGGAGGAGTTTGGTCTGGTGTTTTTGGTAACCATGGAAAAGACACACTGCAAAAAAAACCCAGTCCCCCAAAAAACCACCACATTCCAAATATACTGTAATTGCTGAAGTTTACCCCTCGAATCCTGACTTGTGAGGTTAAGTTGCCTGGGCCAGATGGAGCAGAGTCTGATGCTGAATGGCAGAACAGCCTTTCCCTCCTGCCTCCGCATAAGGATTTCCTTAGCTGTGTCCCTGAAAGAGCCATGCTTAGAGATGCAGGTGCTGAGACTTGAAAGAGGCCAAATGAAAGCCTTGGAGCAGTTGTGTGCAGAGCTGTGGTTTGTGGGGAGCTTCAGAAATGCAACAAACGCAAATATCTAAGTGATTGCTGTTTTCATAGCTGGTCGTCGTCAAGGGTGCAACTGCAAATCAAAAGCTGGGGAGTCTCAGTGGCATCTCTTGAGCTGGGTATTCCTCTCCATCTTTGTGTGATCATCCATCCCCAGAACCACTTACAGCTGCTGCATTCCCCCAAACAACCCCATGACTCCATTTCTTAATGCTAAACACCAACTGACCTCAATTTTTCTGTAGGGCACAAAGTCTGCAAGATCACCTAAGCCAGCAGCCTCCGATCTTCATGTTCCGGCCGAGGGTGTCCGTAATATCAAGAGCATGTGGGAGAAAGGGAATGTTTTTTCATCACCTTCTGGGACAGGAACACCAAATAAGGTGTGTGTTTAATTTTACACAGTGATTATAAGAAATTATGTTATGGACCTGACCTTGCCATTCGTGTTCTTATGAGTAAGCCTGGATGCTCCTCTTGACATCACTGGTGAAGAATATCCTGAAGGATCCTGAGGTCCTCAGAAACCCACAAAATTGTGTGGCAGCAGTATTGAGTATAACAGAAGAATTTAGTGACATACTGAGCTAAGTTATGAGACATTCCAGAGGCACATCAGATATCTTAGACAAATATATCTAGTAGTTCAAGCAGAGTACAAAGAAATTCTTTGTGTCGGGAAAGATTCTTTTCGGGGGCAGAGAAGGATTAAATATGCAAGATAATGGTGATGTTTTATAGATCATGCAGAGAAGCATTTTATAGATCATGCATAGGAGCATTTGTGAGATTTCTATCTTTTCTGCATAAATCCTTAAGGCAACATTTCCTTCTATAAATTGATGTGTCAATGAGCATTCATCATAGCTGACAAACTGACCCATTGATTATTCCAGGAGATTGTTACAGATAACCATGAAATTTCAGTAATTTGTTCTAAACTTTTAAAGATTTATTTTAATGATCTAAATTTTAGGCCACTTAGCTCCTTTATTATGTGCTTTTTTGAAAACCTTTAGTTTAACAAAACAAAAATCTAGACTTAGACTGGTGTCTCCTTTTAGGCTGAAGATTTTTTTCTCTCTGTACTTTGGTACTATGACAGAAACATCAGGTTTATGTCTAGCACTTGTTCTTGGGTGGAATCACTAAAGTGGAAATGATTATGTCAGCCCACATTTATCATTATTGAAAGCTAAAGGGTAGTAGTTCTGTGTGGTTCATAGGAACAATGTTTTTAGAGCGTACAGGATGACCCTTAGTTAGCCATAGTCTCAGTGACCACCTCTATATTAAACTCAGGCTTAGCTTTGTTTTTAAATCTAAACTGTGAAAAACATAGCAAAAGCCACTCTGAAAGTCTTCTGATTAGATTTCGTTATTTTGCAGGAGACTGCTGGACTGAAGGTTGGTGTCTCCAGTCGTATCAACGAGTGGTTAACCAAGACCCCAGAGGGCAACAAATCACCTGCTCCAAAACCTTCCGTAAGTAAACCTGCAACAGCCATGTCTTCAGTAGATGGGTTCTTTCCTGGGGCAGAGGTGGTGACGGTGCTTCCTCAACTAGCTGATGGTCTTTGGAGGAACCTTGCTGCATGTCCTGTCTGGGAAGCTCCCAGAGGCCCTCTGGCTGCTGACTCCTGGGTAGTCAGAAGAGGCAGGAGGGATGAAACAGGGCAGTTCTCAGTTTAAAGCTTAAAAGTGGTCTGAAAAGACAGTGCTCAGAGAAGCACTTCTCTGGTAAAGACAGACATTAATTTACCACCTGTGAAAGGCCTGTCATTAATTTAGAAATTACCAGTCATAGACCTTGGATGAAACGCTTGTGTTTTGGCTCTGTTTTTTGGTAAAAATCTTCCAAGTGTGTTTTTAAACACGACAGACGTACTTTAATCTTGTAAGAGCCTAAATGTCATTTCTAACAAAAGCCCTTTGGTGTGCCCGTTACTTCAGCAAGAATCAAAGCAGAAAATGCTATCAAACTAGTAACATGGGAATATGGGAAACTGCAGTGTGGATGTGGGAAGGAGAAGAAACAGGTAATTTTGGGGTGGGGAAGGGTAGGGATGAGGAACTGGAGCTGTAGTTGTCTGTATCGGAGAGTAGTGGGGCATCACTTGTGGTATTAATGATTCAACTTTGGGATATTATTGAAGAACTGGTTTCTTCCCATATCCTTGTGTGGTGTTTTTCTGCCAATCCACCTGCCCTTTATAAAAGGTGCATCCTGACAAACGCTTTTTGAGTTCACAGTCCTGTTTGTCCCAAAGCAGAGCTTGAAATTTGCAGGTTTGTCCCTAATGTCAGCTACACGGAGATTGTGTCCCCGTGGTTGTGAATATAAAACCAAAGGAAGGCATCGTGGTTGCTGTATTTAATCACAGCCTCTGAAAACCAGCACAGAATCTGCCCCCAGATTTTCCTCTCTTTTAAGTTGCATCCTTTAGATAATGTAAAACTAACCTCTTGTTTTTCCCTCAGCCAATGTTTCTATCTATGTCTTCATTTCCCTCTTTCTCAATAGATTCTTCTTTCTTCTTTCAATATCTCTGCTTGAAGGAACCTGCCCTCCTCCTATTCCTCTTCTTTGGGTGTCTGTTTGCTAAGTTGGTCAGGTAAACCTGTTTATAATTGACTATGAAGAATGATATACATCTGCAATGTCTGATTTTTACTTTTCTTATCAGGATAAATCAAAGGGAAACTTAAAATTTTGTATTTAGCAAATAACTTCCTATTCCCACCCCCCATCACATTCCACTAAAATAAATTATTGTTTGAAGCTTTTGTGAGCATCAAATTCTGGTTTTGGAACAGCATTGACTTAAAAGTAGAGGGAGCAAAGATCTTAATTTGGTTTATGGTGAACATAATTCACAGATCCCAAATGATTTCAGGATTATGAAAGTGGTTTAGTGATAATGCTCATTGCAAGTGGATTTTTTAATAAGGGCCACTGCAATTTTGCTGGTTTCTTCCTTCCTCTGCTACTGCTTAACTTACTTTTTGAAGTACACAATTGTCTTAAAGTCTTAACTACCAGCAGCCCTCTTAGGCTGTAAATTATGATCAATTCTAGAGCGTCTCTGTTGGGTGCAAATACCTCTTGCAGAAATCACATTTTCATTCATCACTGGGCAATTTTCTATCCCACGTTAGAAATTCTCATGGGCAGAAAATGACCTATCTATGGATGGCAAGAACAAGATTGTGAAAACTGTGCAGGACTTTTTGAAAAGGAGAGCACTTGTGTCCAAAATTGTTACAAGAGACTTTTGTTTGCCATCCTCAGAAGCAAATAGCAATCCATCTGCCCTTTAAGAGGGTACATTCCTACTAGCCTAGCATGTGGTATCTTGGTTTGTATCCCTGTTTTTCCCCAAGAAGCAGCTTGACATTTTTACTGAGTTTTGCTTAAAGTCTGCATACTCACTTATTTCCAGATAATATTATTATTTTTTAATTTACCTCACCTGTTTTTTTCTGTCGGGCTAGTGATTGGTACATGCTAAGGTGCTAAAGGATGCAGTGGAAATCCTAATGTATATGAAGGACTCCAGTGTTAAATCTGGAAACCTATATTTAAGAATGCAGAGGACCTGCTTTTCTGTTCTATTAGAAGTCCCATTCCCCATTCTTTTTTACTTTTTTTTTTAACAGTTTTTTTAATGAAATATTTTGATTCTGATGCAAAATAACTGAGACAAGCTACTTTTGAATTCCTCCCTAATAGAAATATTATTTCAGAAAAAAAAAATCTGTTTTTTTTTCTGCACAAATTGAAATTGTCTTTCTTGAAAACCCGATGGGGCAATAGCTTTTCAATGTATTCCCTAGGGTGAACATAGTAAGGTATGGCCACTCTGTGCAGTGCTTAATAAATGCAGTAAGATTATTTTTTGTCGTAAAGCACATATATATGTGGAGTGATGATGTGAAGTGCCATTCCAAATAGCTTTATAATTGATAGACAATGTAATATTTACCACTAATGGATGCTCTTCAACTTTTCTTATGAGGGAGTTGCATTCTAACTTTTTCTTTACCCAAGTAAAATAAATCTGAACTAATATTGGTTTCTGTTCTCTGACATTAATTTTCAAATACAGGATTTAAAACCAGGAGATGTATCTGGCAAACGTAATCTCTGGGAGAAGCAGTCAGTTGAAAAGCCATCTTCTTCTAAGGTAACTTCAGTGCACTGTTAAAAGGATAATATCTCGGGGGGGGGGCTTACTTGTGGGAATGTGGTGTTTGTCTTCATATGGTCAGTTAGTTGGAATGAGACCTCCACATGTCTTTTGTTACTAACCTGCCTTTTTTATCTATAAAATAAAGTACAATGAAGCACAGAAAGCCATGGGCAGTGTGTAACTTCTATATTCATATTTGGCAGAGCTGTGTTGTGCGTGGAAATCTGTCCTTTGCATGGAGTTGATTTTTTCCCCCTGCTATAAATAGATATGTTTTCCCTTATTCAACTTTAATAATGGACTATTACTTCTTCAAACAGGTATCAGCTGTGGGGAAAAAAGAGACTAATGGTAAGTAATTCTAATAACACACCTGCATATTTAATAGAAACTTTGCCACATTTTCCTACGGGCACATCTGAGTTTTAAAATTCTACGGCTGTTAATGTTGATGGAAAAAACCCTGCTTTTTGCCTTGACCTTTCAAAAAAAGCTCCGTTGCAATATCATCAAAACACAAATGTTTGAGAAATAAGCCTAAACCATCTTTCTAGGAGGACTGAGAGCTCGCAGTGCTCCAGCCACGCTTGCAAAACCTTGTTTGAGTGACATGTGTAGCATATTTGCTGTAGCTGGAGAGAGTCATTAAACTGTGTGAGGTCTGAGGAATGGGATGGTCATCTAACTAATTACAGTAAATGCAAGGCAGCTGGCAAAGGCTCTTGTAGAGGCTGCAGCAGGAATGGCCATGCCTTTCATGACTGAAGGGGGAAAACCCAAAAAGTGAGGTTCTTGCAGCAGCATTATTTGAGCAGAAACGGAAGTTTTAAAGTGCTACTGAGAGCAAGCCCTGCTTCTGATTTTAAACGCTGTCACTGGGTAATGGTGAAGCCTGAAGAAAATTCAGCATTATTGATTTTTAAAAATAATTCTTCTGGCTGAGTGACTCTGGTGAGTCTCATGTGCTCTTGCACACCCAGAGTAGAAAGGAGTTAAAATGCCCTCAGCAGCAGCGCTGCTTTTGCTGGAGCTGTGCATCGGTGTCTTCTCAAGGCAAAATTATACTATTATAATTTTGAAACTGCTAGTTTGGGAAGCAAACAATCAGCAAAATTACCCTCCTAGCTTTTTTAATATTTTTTTTTTTTTAAATTTAAAACACTCCAAATAAACCAATTAAAGGAATTGTGTGCCTAAGGACCAGCAGGGAAGAATGGAAATTCACTGACCAATTCAGTAGCTTTAAAGATGCCTTGCAACATCCCTTGATTCTTCACTAGGAATGAAATGATCAAACATAGAAAAACTTTTTGGTTTTTACACATTAGCGTATGCACACATTTTTCTTCACATGCATACGTTAAGCTGGAGGTATGGTGTACCTGTGAACTTTTCTTGTCAGTTTAAGGGTTGTGCAAAACAGAATTGTCTTCCTCCTCCTCTTCTTTTTTAGGGGTCTGGAGAATAAGTCTTATGAGGAGAGGCTGAGGGAACTGGGGGTGTTCAGCCTGGAGAAGAGGAGGCTGAGGGGAGACCTTCTTGCTCTCTACAACTCCCTGAAAGGAGGGTGTAGAGAGGTGGGGGTCGGTCTCTTCTCCCAAGTCACAGGTGACAGGACAAGAGGAAATGGCCTCAAGTTGTACCAGGGGAGGTTCAGGCTGGATATTAGGAAAAATTTTTTCACTGAAAGGGTTATCAGACATTGGAATGGGCTGCCCAGGGAGGTGGTTGAGGCCCCATCCCTGGAGGTGTTCAAAAGACGGGTTGATGAAGTGCTGGGAGGTATGGTTTAGTGATGATGCTCCTTGTTTGTTGTGCGGGTGTCTATTTTTGTCAGTTAGGTTGACGGTTGGACAAGATGATCTTTAAGGTCCCTTCCAACCTAGAAGATTCTGTGATTCTGTGATTCTTTTTTCAACTGAGCTGTTAGGAGAGGGGTTTTCAGGCTCACTCAGGGTTGAGCAGCTCTGCTCCCAGGGAAGGTGTTAGCAGCCGTGAGTCGTTGCCTACGGGAGCAGGCTCCACTGAGAAGTTCAGACACTCAAACCTCTCCTCCAAGGCTGAGTGAGATGAGGCCTTCAGTAGAGGGGTTGCAGGAGGAAAGGTCTCAGGGGCTGGCTTTCAGTCCTCCCATGGACTAGGGGTATATGCACCAAGCATTGCAGCACAGCTTCAGCTGCTTCCCAGGGCTGTTGGAGGTGAGAAAGGTGAAATCCTGCTTGTCCTCTCGGAGGACCACCTCGGAGCAATCCCAATACACGAGAACAGCAGCATCCAGCTTGTGTCCTGCCTTCTTACACGCTGTGTGTTAATCTAGAGCCATGCCTTCTCTAACTTTAGAGATACGTCTGGGTTATTTCAAGCCATCTTTAATCTGTCTCTTTCTCAGCAGGTTTGAGACAATTTGAGAAAGAACCGTAGAAGGCCGCTAAAGACGCCGGACCAATCAGTTGGGGGAAAAAAAAGAAAAGGAAAAAGTGCTAAATTGTTCTTTTTATATTTATGTTTATTTACCAAAAATGTCTTTTTGCATTATCCCAGTTAAAACCATGTATATTAGCACTGTATTTAATAATCAGTCTAGACATTCATCTTAATAGTACTGCCTTTGCACAAGAGCCTTTATTCCTAAAGAAACCCATGCTGTGAAATATATAGACTCTCCTACTGATAGTCATAACGATGTATCTGAACAGTGATTTCAACTGGCAGAAGAGGTCAACCCAAAACGCATGTAAAGTGAAGTTGCTCAAGAAAGGTGTGCAGTGAACCTATAAAAACAACGGTTACTTTTGTAATACAGAAGTCTTTCTTTCTGCACTTTAGACTAAGGCATGGAAGAAATATCTTTAGTTGACAATGTAATATTTTCTGTAAGTTGCCCATGTCATGAGAAATACTGCATCAATAACGTGGTTTAGGTTTTTTTGTTTTGTTTTGTTTTATACTTTTTTTAAGTATCAATTTCTCCATTCTAGTTTAAGTTAATACCTAAATTTGGATGGTTATGTTAGCTGACAGCGGTACTGATATTTCTTTTTGTTGTTAGTGACTAGTAATTGAATGCAATTTAGATTATATACACACATAGCTTTACAAAGGTTAGCCTAAAGGCACTACTAATGGTAGAATGCTTTAATACATGCTAGAGTATTATATTTAGTAATAAACATACATAATTAGCCAATATCACAGCTTAAAAAAATAAAGACAAAATCACACAACTTTTCTATAGTAAGATTTCATAATTGCCATTAGAGGTATGGTGAGATAAGTATTAAAAAATTTTAAATGTCAGTTGCCCAGTACTGGGTAATTAAAAAGAAAGTATAGTTTTTAAAAGAGGAAAAGGTAAGGGTATAGAGGGTCAAAAATAGGTCACTTGTATAAAACGTTGTAGTTTAATTTATATAAAACTACCATAATTAAAAAGAAAAAAAACAAACCTAAACACAGATGGAGCTGGTTTTAAATAACTGTACACTAAATCTTGCCATCCATCGGTGCCGTACACTAAGTCCACCTAAAATGAAGTAAACCTCTATCTTTATAGTGCTTCTTTTTAACTCTCTCTCCCTAATATCTTATTTACAGATGTTTTCATTTGTATATAGTTAAACACATGGCTATAAGACGTCAGCTTGGTTTGAGTTTACATGCCATACAGTTTAGCATTTACATCCTACAGTGTATGGGTGGCATAAACTGAGCAACTGAAGTAGCCCCTGAGCGTGTTGTTAACAGCCTTGTAGTGCATCAAAATTACCAGGATCTGCCTTTTCACCACCTCCATCTTTTACAGCATCTGTCTTCTTCCAAAAGAAGCGTACTGTTATATTTTCAACCCAAATATGAGCTCCCCTGCTTGGCCGAAACATCTTGTTTACATACAGAGATGCACGGAGTTATCTGTAGGGGGTGAAACTGTGCCTGACATTGTCTGTGAGTTGTCATGTTTTTTTTTTTGTTTGGGGGTTTTGTAAACACTCCTCTGAGTCTTTCAAATACATCCGATAGCTGCAATAAAAACGATTTGTTCAAACAATGTATCCTGAAACTGCATCCACAATAAATGGAATATTTCCATCAGCAGCCCCCTGTTTGTCAATGAGTAGAAACGGGCCGGTTGTTGTAACTGGGATAGGAATTGTGCTAAGGCTGTGTAAAATAAGGTATCCTTGCAAAGAACCTCAAAGCATGTCTCTCCTGATGTACTCCTACCCTACCCCAGACAGCCAAGTCATAAAATCAGCAGATTTACCTACATACTCTTAAGGACGAGAGGAAATGGCCTCAAGTTGCGCCAGGGGAGGTTCAGGCTGGATATTAGGAAAAATTTTTTCACTGAAAGGGTTCTCAGCCATTGGAATGGGCTGCCCAGGGAGGTGGTTGAGGCACCATCCCTGGAGGTGTTCAAAAGACAGGTTGATGTGGTGCTGGGAGGTATGGTTTAGTGATGATGCTCCTTGTTTGTTGTGTGGGTGTCTATTTTTGTCAGTTAGGTTGACGGTTGGACAAGATGATCTTTAAGGTCCCTTCCAACCTAGAAGATTGATTCTGTGATTCTGTGAATTGTCGTGCCTGTTGGTACAAGAGAGAAGCTGTGCATCATCCAGAAGTCAGCGTGCTCCACAAAGTAGGTTCTGACCCAGCAGCACAGCCACCTGCTTTCCTGCTTTGAAAGATGTTTTCTGTGTGAGGGTGGTTGTGTTTCTTCTCTCTGCCTCAGTGGGATGTGCTTCCAGGCACGGATGACCATGGAGACCAAAGCCTGGGGAGCTGCTGGCCTTCCCCTTGTCCTCCCCTCCCCTTCATTTTTGCTCCAAGGGCAGCACAGCACGTAACGCCCTGCATCAACCAGGTCATGGTCATCCTGAAGAGGCCCCCCAGGCTGCTGCCAGCTCCACGAGAGGCACTGGGAAGGCTGCCACAAGCAAAGCTTTTCTGAGCTACTGGGGGAGAAGTAATCGGATGCTGCCTGATTTAACCTGAAAAGAGCCTGTATGCCTGCAAGCGGGCCTGTTTCCCTGCCTCGGACTGACCGACTACATTGCTAAATTTTTCTGCAGTCTTTGCCAAAGTGGCACTTTTCCTTGGTGAGGTAGGTAAGCTCCTTTTGCTCCTGGTTATTGCCTTTTCTGAGAGTGTGGCAGTGCGCTGGGCACAACAGCTTTTACTTTTACAAATCCCAGGGGTTGAGTCAGCAGCGCTGCAAGTTTTTGGGGTGTTTCAATCCCATTACCTGGTGATGATTGTTCAGTCAGATTGTCACCTTCTGATCATAGTTTCCTGCAGCATCCCAGCCAGCCTTGCTCTTGCCAGCGTGCAAAATGCCCCAGAGCAGCCTTTTTCAAGCCCTTGCTTTGCTTTGGCTTAACACCAAGCAATTGTGAGTCTACCTTACAGTTTGCTTTGGTGTTTTCAAAGTTATTCTATGTTCTCTTTAAATAACACCAACCCTTGTCTGGATATATTGTTCTGAATGCTGCCAGCAGAGGAACAAAAAAAAAATAAAAATCTAGTTTTGTGTTTGAGATTTCCAGAGCAAGTCTTTCTGATTGTGTAGGTAGACCTTATGTTTGGCTGGGTGGATTTTGATGTGTGTTATCACTGCTTATCTCCACCTCTCATCATACAAGGATTTGACGTCTAGTTGTCCAGGGGGAGGGCTGTTGTTTAGGTTCTAAGCTGGAGCATGATCCTGCTTAATGCGTAAGCCACAAAGTAGTCTCTATGTATTGTCCTTGTAGAGGAAGCACATTTCTATCTGTATTAATTTATAAAAAAAAAACCCCAAAACAAAAACCAAACCAGACTTCAGGCAGGGTTTTATAAATAATTGTATGAAATAATTCAAGCACTCCACTGATTAAGTTTTGTTGTTATTCAAACTTCATTCATATAAAATTTTAAAGCATTAGAGGTTCACACTGTAAAAATCACAACTATGTAAGAAAGCAAAGTAATTAGAAAGAGCATTGCTTGACAGCAGCTCATGAGCCAGTATGACTGACCACACCGGAAATAACATATAAAAAAACCCAAACATGTAAGTAACCAGAGTTTTTTGTTAAACATGACTTTAATTAAGGAAGAGAAGGAAAAAAAAGAAATGAAGAGACGTTGTCTTTTTACTATTAATCAAAACCAGATTTCTGCTAACCATCTTTACAAAAGATGCATCCCTGTTGATGTGTTGTTATCCCAGCTCGTGATGGCCTCCTGAAAAAGGAGGATAAGTAGCTGCTTGTAATGATCGTCAAATACAGAAGAAAAAAATCAGGACCAAGCTCCATCTTCTCATCTGGAAGGAATTACACAGAAGTCTCGCAGAAACCACTGGCATTAATATTCTGCTTTGAATGGGTAGTCCTTGTGATTGACAGCTCTGAGAAGAGAAAGAATGGTTAGTTAAGTACTGTAGAAAGTATCTTCAGCAGCATTTCCCCACTGCTGCTCCCTCCCCAGCTGCCAAGATACTCAAGTGTTACTGCTGTCATTAATTTGGACACAGACTTGGGAACAAGTGTGTGCCGCACCACGATGTCAAAGGGAGTGTGTGCCCTGAATGAATCCCCCTCCTGACATCAGTTCCAGGCTGTGTCTCGTTACCTGGGATCCAGGTTTTAAGATACGAGCTCTCCCTGGTTTTGGTCATGTATGTTTTCAAGATATGGGGGATGAAAACACAGATAGAGATAGGCCTAATGGATAATAAGGATAACAGAGAACATACTGGAGCGCTGGCACCGCTCTCCAGTTCCTGTTGAAGCTGAGGATGACGTCCATCTCATTTTTAGATAGTTCAAAGTCAAACACCTAGAAGGGGAAAACAAACAAACTTTTTACTGAGCTTCATAAGCAGTTAGCTACTAAGTGTGCTTCATGCGTTTATGACTTCATGTAGGAACATACTGCCTCCACACTAAGCACAATTAAGAAATCCTCTTATTTCTCTTATTTCCTCAATTTACCCTTGAAGTAACCAAGATAGTCCTTTTCTTTCTGAGGTGCTGTTTTATAGCAATGTCTCTCAGTCCTGGGTGGTTGAATGCAAACACCACTGTAGTTTGGGTTGTAATGCACAGACAGAAAACTTAGGGTGCTAAGGATGGGTTACTTGATGTGTCACTGCAATTAGCAGTAAATATTTCTGCTACAACAGAGGACTTCTGGGTACCAGCTGCAAATATTTGTCTCACAGTTAAGCAGTCATCTAAGAGCTCTTGCTAGTGGTCCATAGGAGAGGTAAGTCCAAAAAATGTAGCAGCTTGAATTGAAAGTAACACAGAAATTTCATCTAAGATGCCAGCCCTTACGAGCAAATATCCAGCTGAGTCTCTCTGCCAAGGGGAACCACAGCCTCAAGGTGAGACATAAACCATAACGGGTCTGGTGTTTACAATCTGTTCCTTCACACCCTACAGAGGGGCTCACTAAGCATTTCCCAGAGGGAAAGTCCAAAACTGGGATTCCGTTGCCAGGGCAGCAGAGCTTGGACCACCCTGGTGTAACCCATTTCTCTCCTGGCAGGAAGAAAAAGCTTTTCCCCAGAGGAAAAATGCAGACACTTAGGTAGTGCCGAGCCCCAATCTTTACATCTCTGAGCTCTCCTTCCAATGTCTCTTAGATGCTGCTTGGAAACATGAAGGAGATATGGGGATGGGTGGCCATCCTGTGTAAAAAGGTGGCAGAAGTCCCACTGGAAACTTTACCTTGATGTTTTCCTGAACACGCTGTGGTTTGTCAGACTTGGGAATGACGATCACATTTCTTTGGATAAGAAACCGGAGCAGAACCTAGGAAAGAGCAAGGGGGAGCATGAACACAGGGGTACCAAGAAATCTGTTCAAATGCATTTTGTGTTCTCTCATACTTCCCACCCTCCCCCCGGCCATGCACAAACCGATTTTTCTTTCTACAACTAAGTTTGCATACAGGAGTTTGATGTGCCAACATCTGCTTGCAGTCTACTGACAAATTATAATTATTTCTGGCCTATGTTGTTTCTACATCCTGGATTCTGTAGGATTTGTTTTGTTTTCATTTAGAATAGGAGGCGGGGGGGAGAAAAATTATGATGCTTCTGGCTGGTGTTATAGGGGTGCTTGGACCAAATGAGCACAACAATTCTGCAAATTATTTTGGGCACGCAGGTAAGTACCTCATCTAAGTTAATCCTTCTAAAGTCCTTAAAAGGAAAAATGTATTTATAGATTTTAAAAGTTCCCCCCACCTCCAAACAGGACTGTTGCATACAATTTTTTGTCCTGCTCTTGCCTGTCTTAAAAATATGACTATGGCTGATATTGCCTGTGAACACGTGGGGTTGTTTGAAGTCCAGTTTCTGTAGACCCAGTGCAAGAACTCCCTTACGTGACTAGCAACTAATAGAGAAAATTTCATCTTGAATAATCAAGCACCTTTCAAGGATGCTTTGTGAACATGAGCAATCAAATTGGTTTGCAAATTACAGGGCTTCTCTGAAGAATAACTTGGTTAACTTAGCTGGAGGAAAGAATAACAGGTTGGCTTGATGGTTTGTAAATAAACTTCAGAGGAAAGGGGTTCTCAAGGAGCAAGCACTTCTCTCTGGGAGCAGAATAAATCTCCCTAAGAAGCAGGACATCCAAGGTAAGCGTGTACCTCATCAGCCCCTCCAAAAACAGCACTCAAGACCTCTTAGAAAATACCTGATAATTCATATGAATGCTGGTAGGAACTGGGGCAAAATGAGGAGTCAAGTGCAGTTCAAGCCCATTATACTGTACCTTTAGAGAAGGCAGCATCTGCTAAGCTGGCCATCAGCCTACAAAAATGTCTGAGGAGGAAGAACAGTTTTCCCTGATGACCCCACTTACCTGGGCAGGGGTTTTATTATGTCTAACTGCAATCTCTTTAATCTTGGGATCATCCAGCAGCAGAGGGTCCCCTGGCTTTGCCCTGTTAAAAACAAAATCCAGGATATTGATGGGACAAAGGTGTTGACTTCCCTTGCAGGAAGCCTGACGTTTTATGTGAAATAATCTGCAACAAAGCAAGAGCACTTTTCTCATTATACATGCATTTATTTACATCATTTGCCTCTAAGATTCAAGTGGCAAATGCACTGTTTTGCCTGCAGAAAGGCTGCCATGCTTTCTTACCATGGGCGGTTAGGAGAGCCGAGGGGGCTGTACGCTGTCACAGCAATCCCTTTGGATTGACAGTACTTGATCAGCTTCTCCTGGGTGAGGTAGGGATGACATTCAACCTGCCAACACAGGAAGGTGGTGGTTGACACAGAGGCAGACTAAACCCAGCTCCAGAGCATAAATAACCAACATTTTAATTCCTCTTGGGTCACAAAAAATGTGAAGACTTACAATATCATGATTAAAATCTATCTGCTACAAAAAAAAAAAAGTTATCCATGTCACAGCAAGATCTAGAGGCCTGGCACAGAGAATAGGGCTTCCTCATGCCACATATCATGCAAAGATTGTGAGAAGTAGATGAGAGGAGTGAAAGTGCTATCCATGTCAGGAATCAGGGAAATCAGTCTTCCTGGACTACTGGAGAACAGAACCGCATCTTCAGAGGGGCAGCTCAGAATACCTGAAGTTTAGCTCCTGCTCCAAGTCACCCAACCACAAGGCACAGTATGACCACAGGGCTACACTGCATAACACAGCACCATGCACGTATCCAGCTGTTTCTACATGCTATGGCTTTGCCCCCAGGCATGGTGACACGAAATCCATGAACAGTAGTTTAGTTAGACTTCAGCTAGATTAGGGAATGACTGTAATGACAGCATGTGGCACAGGCACAACCATAAAGAAGCAAATATAGAAGCTGGAGTCAATCACAGAATCATAGAATGGTTTGGGTTGGAAGGGACCTCAAAGATCATCAAGTTCCAACCCCCCTGCCATGGGCAGGGACACCTCCCACTAGAGCAGGTTGCTCAAGGCCCCATCCAGCCTGGCCTTGAACACTTCCAGGGATGGGGCAGCCACATCTTCAGTCAAAGCCTGAAGTTCTTTAAAGCGTTGAAGTCGGTGCAGCTTTTAACGTGAGGGCAGTTGGCTCCATCCCCAATGGAAGTTTATAACCCTTCAGTAACATCTTCCCAAGTCCTATGTCCCCCTTGTGCTAAGCCTGGGTGACACACGTGTTAGTCCCAAGTCCAGCACAGGCAGCATCACACCTGCACAGGACTCAGATCTCCCTGGCTGGTGTTTTCCCAAACCATCGGACACGGGCATTGAGCACCCTCAGCTGAGCGCAAGGAAGTCACACGTGGAAAAGTCAGAAGGTCCTGATGTGCCCCTGCTGCCCTGCAATTTCATTCATGAGGTATGTGGTGAGAATTTGTTATATTATTATTATATATATATATCCAAGCCTCTTTTTTATAATTAGGCTCAGTGAAACTGTTTCTTTTGTGTTGGAAAATAAACGAGTCCAGAGAATGAGTTAGAACATTCCTGTGCAGTCCTGTGCCTGTGCAGTAGCTCGCAGTGGAGATTTTGTTGGTTATTCCAGGAATGGCAGAAATGGGCCTGTGGCAACTTGGGAGTTGCAAAAGATGACGTGTGGCAGAAAGTCACAAGGTCTTAGACAAGGTAATGTATATTTCTGCTTTTTTCCAATGTCTGAAAAGTAAGTTCTCATGTGTTTGTTTCATGTTATGGTGATATGAATAACCCATACTGTTTTGTATGGTATTGCTCTCAAATCTCCACTGCATTATATACACACACAACTCTACACAACGTTTTCTGTTTAGATCCCTGTCAGCTAAAAGCCATCCACTGACTCTGTACCAAAGCCTTCCGTATTGGAGGCAGAACTGACTTGAAGGGACTTGGGGACAACCAGAGACACCTTGTGCTTTGCAAGATCTTTCCACGGCACCAAAACTGTTTGAAGGTCATGGCAGAAGTCAGTTTTAGAGCTGAAGTGTAGCACAACAAGCTTAAGAATATCCCAAGTTTAGCTGACATCAATGGAAATAGAAGTCTTACCTGGTTAATTACTGGCTTGTATTTTAGTCCTGGCTTGTTCAAGATTCTTTCGATTTGCTCATGGTTAAAGTTGGAGACACCAATGGCTTTCACCAGACCACAGTCCACCAGCTCTTCCATGGCCTAAAGGGTAAGGACAACCAATGTGTGTTTATGAGGTGGTATTAGTATCAGCTACACTATGTTAGTTCTCTAAAGCTAGTGACAAACCAATAAACAACCCAGACTAGATCACAGTATTATTTCAAACTATACAACAAAAAACCAAAACCCCAAAACCCCACCTTTATACCTTGTATTATCTGCATGCTTTATGTCTCATTGCAGATGTAATATAAGTAATATAAGAATGACTTGGCAAACTCTTTTGTAATGGGAAGCAAAATCTTTTGCTTTGGCTTTTTTGGGGGTCATTTTGCCAGACTTAAAAATGCAAAGGAGACCCCTCCACCTCCTACCATGCCAGCATACCACCTCTGAGTTGGCAGAACGCAGCAGGGAGGATGTTAGAATAAACTGAATTACCTCAAAATACTTTCTTACAGCTGTAACCTGCTACTCTAGAAAAAACTATTAATTTGTAGAGTCATAGAATGGTTCGAGTTGGAAGGAAGATTAAAGATCATCTTTCCCCTCTACCACCGCCACGATGGGCAGAGGCACTTCCCACTAGAGCAGGTTGCTCCAAGCCCCATCCAGCCTGGCCTTGAACCCCTCCAGGGATGGGGCAGCCACAACTTCTCTGGGCAACCCGTTCCAGTGCCTCACCACCCTCATAGTGAAAAATTTCTTCCTAATATCTAATCTAAATCTCCCTTCTTTCAGTTTCAAACCATTACCCCTCATCCTATTGCTACACTCCCTGATAAGGAGTCCCTCCCCGTCTCTCTGTAGATCTCCTTTAGGTACTGGGAGGCTGTTAAAATGTCTCTCTGGAGCCTTCTGCTCTCCAGGCTGAACAGCCCCAGCTCTCTCAGCCTGTCCTCATAGGAGAGGTGCTCCAGCCCTCTGAATATCTTCATGACCCTCCTTTGGACCCATTCCAATAGATCCATGTCCTACTTGTGCTGAGGACTCCAGAGCTGGGCACAGTACTCCAGGTGGGATTTCACTGGAGCAGAGTAGAGGGGTAGAACCACCTGTCTTGACCTCCTGGCCATGCTTCTTTTGATGCAGCCCAGGATATGGTTGGCTTTCTGGCTTCCCAGCACACATTGCTGACTCATGTTGAGCTCCTCATCCACCAGCCCCCCCAACTCCTTCTCCTCGGGGCTGCTCTCAGAGCTGTAGCATCACAGAGGTGTAGGTAGCAGGAGCAGACCCTAAATCCTCTCAGTCCACAAGGAAAGGAGGATTGAAGGACAGCCTGACATGCTGATGCCTGACACTGAAAAGTGTGAGAACTCACTATCTGTATGAAACACCCAGTAAAGTAACAGCCACACCTGGATTAATCTACACTTCATTAATCTACTATTCAAATATTATTTCAGTGACAACACCTATACTGCTTATAGTTTCCTCCTCTCTCGTCTTAGCACAGACAACGCCCCTCTTGCTCCTCAAAACAAGAGGTAGCAGCAGCTCTGCTCATTCTGGTCATGAAATACAATTTTGTGTGACTATCGTCCGTACCCAAACCTATCCCTTAATGTCATCGTGCACACAGATCTCAGTTCCACCTTTAGTGCTGACACTGGCCCAAAAGAGCAAACATTAACTTACCTCCCACGTGTCCACAAAATCTGTATCACTGGGGATACTCATACCCTTGTCATCCAGAGGATGAAGTTCTTCGCCAGCCTGTTATTTCAAGGCAGATAAAACATACACTTTAAGAGTTTATTTTCTTACTGTTTACTAGCACTTCTGACTGGAATTATAGGCAGGGAGTTACTAGGTTATTTAAACATACCACATTACTGATAAACATGCATATTTTTTAGTTTTCTCTTTTGGGCAAGGGACATATTTCTACAGATCATTCCCTGCATACAAAGGCTGGGGATTAGAAGTAATTATGTGAGTAACTCAGGCAGATCTAGAGACAACGCCCAACTGTTTAAAATTGTAGAGTTTTTATTTGTTTTACATGGGTGTAGACTGGGGAAAAAACCCAGCATGTTCTCTCTGCACTGTGCTTTGCTTTTCACTGTTGGTTACTCCAGATCAAGCCAACATCTCCAAAGCCTGAGATGTTCCCACTGTCCCAGCCCAGCAGAAGGCCATGATCCCAAACTGCACCATCGTGTGTTGAGTACAGTTTCCCTGAAGACCCAGGGGGCTCATTAGCAGTGTTCATACCCACACCCATCTCAGTCCAACAGGCATGGAAAGCCAGACCCATGTGCTAAAACGTACAACTACCCAGTTAGTGACTACATGCTTGCTACCACCTCTGCAGGTAAGAGCTAAATGAACCACAGCATATCCCAGCTGCGTAATGAAGATGGTGACAGCACAGATGAGAGAATGCACCAGGTTTCTAGCCAGGTAAGGAGAAGAGGAATGTAGAGCAGAACTACCTTGAATCCCATAGGGAAGTGTATCAGGTAGAGGTCAAGGTAGTCCAGCTGCAGTGCGTCGAGGCTCTTCTTGCACGCTACCTTAACCAGAGACTTCTCGTGAAACGTGTTCCACAACTGTGGGAAGAAACCAAGCCCAACCATGAGTCTACAGCTTCCAGAGTCCAGACTAGGGGACAAAAGCTTCTCCCTTAGTGGTCTGGGAGGACAACTCCCTCCCTGCCTACCCAGTGCACAGTGAAGACAAAGATGCCAAAATTTTAATTGTAAGGTAAGACAAACATACCACAAATAAGGGAGTCGGTAGTGAAGGTTAACAATCACTATTCCTACTTATTAAAAAAAGAGAGTTTCAGAATTAACTGTAACACCCTGCCAAGTGTATCTGACACAGCAAAGTTGTTACTGTTACTTTTTTTTTCCCAGCCTAAAGTTTGAGTCTTGAGCAACTCATGGGTGCCCTCCTTCTGCCACTTTTATCTGGCCACTGAGAGAACTGTTGTGAATTTTACTTCATTCTTTAAATGAGAATTCAAGTAGTTTAAATAGAAGAACTTGCAAGCATTACTCAAAAGAAAACCTGTTCTTTAACAGAAATTGAGGGTATGTGGAAAAGCTAGTTATGCTCAGTATTTTCTAGTTTTGCTAGTGAAAACACCGAATCACTTCAACTAAAAAACTCATGTTCTCACTTTTTGGTAAAGAGCATTGCTGAAACAAGTAGATGAAATGAAGGAATGGAGTAAATAGCTCAGACTGAAGTCTGTTACTTTCATTTCTATGCCCTTCCAGGCTTACATTTTGTACATGACACCATTTTCCAATGTCTTGCGCACCACAAAGTAGTGTGGAACCTTCGGATTCAGACATCTGTATAATCTTCCTGATCTTTCTAGGGTGCGTACAAATGGACCTTCAGTATAATTAACTGACTTATCACATACAAGGAAATTATTAGACCAGCAACCACGCTATCCTTCCAAAGTTGTCAATAGTTCCTTAAGTAAAGTTCAGTCCAAATTGCAAATAGAGGATGGAATTTATAGCACACAACAAGACAACCATGAAATTAATATCATAGAAGGGAATAAGTCCTTTGGTTACTTTACAGATGGAATGTTTCTTTCAGAAAAATGTAAACACCCCAAAAATCCAGCATCCTTGTACCTTAGTAACAATGAAGAGGTCTTCCCGCTTCACAGCCCCCTCCTTGATCTTCTGCTGGACTGCATTCCCTATTTCATTTTCATTCTGGTAGAAGTAGGCACAGTCGAAGTGGCGGTAGCCTGCATCGATAGCAAACTTCACCACCTCTTCCACCTTCCCTGGAGGAGCCTGAAAGCAAACACAACCAAACCATGAGCTTTTGCGTGGCCCTCTGCCAGCGCTCACAAGCTGCTCTAGCTCCACAAAGTCTCCCTTTCCAGCTGTTGCTGGAGTTTCCTTGACACCCGAGGTTCAACTCTCCAGACAAACAGCATTTTTGTAAGGAAAGGGAACGGAGCAGAAAGGAGTTCATTTCTGTGAGACATTTGGGACTCTGCCATTTCCAGCAGAGTTTCCTTAACTCCTTCCTAGTTTGAGGGAGGCTGAGGGCAGACCTCATCCCTCTCTACAACTTCTTGAAAGGACATTGTAGAGAGGTTGGTGCTGGTCTCTTTTCACAGGTGATTAGCAATAGAACGAGAGGGAATGGATTCAAGCTGCAACAGAGTAGGTTTAGACCGGACATTAGGAAAAAATTCTTCCCAGAAAGAGTGGTCAGACACTGGAATAGGCTGCCCAGGGAGGTGGTTGAGCCACCATCCTTGGATGAGTTTAAGAGTCGTTTAGATGTGGTGTTGGGTGATATGGTGTAGGGGAGAACTTTGTAGAATAGAGTTGATGGTTGGACTCGATGCTCCCAAGGGTCTCTTCCAACCTAGATGATTCTATAACTTGCTCTCAGGGTTGTTCAAGCAGTTTTGCCGGTTAAACCCTTCCCCACGAAGGCGGTTCGGTGGCACAAGGGCTGCCATCAGCCAAGCCACCCCTGCCAGCTGCGCGCACCTGCCCTTTCGCAACCCACACTCGGCTCTTTTTTGCTGCTTACTTCTTTTGCCTCCCCCACCCCTTCTTCGGCCCCTTGCTTTTTGTTTGGTTTTGGCCTTTCC